TGGTCACAGACACAGAATTGGATTTGGACTGAACCACTAAACCCTCGTGAATTCTCATCTGAGTAGGATGTGAGGTTTGAGAGAATCAGTTTTACTCTCTGATTCTTTTGCTGCAGTTTCTAGGTTAAGATGCTAATTAAACTGAGGGGGTGAAGTTTTGACCTTATGAAAGTCTCCTGGATGCTGATTACAGTGGGACAAAGATTTTACTGCTGCTCTGATGAGAAACTGTTATTTTAAACTGTGGATCACGTTCAGTGTCTTGAAAAGATGGAGTTTTGTGTACCTGCAGCTTGTACTGGGTGCTTTTGCTTGAGTAGTGCAATTAGTTGGTATTGTTGCTAATCCTTCCATATTATTTCTGTATTACACTGTGTTTATCTTCCAGATTGCAGAACTTTGAGGGCTCTGTTTTTCTTGGACTATTTGTTGGGTACTTGTTCTAACCAATTCTTAAAGCTAATATGCGAAAAAATTCTTTGAAGCCATTGATGTATTTCAGAAATACGTTAAAAAAAAACGAAAAAAAAATACGAATAAAAAGCAAACTATTCCTGGCTGTTGGTTTGACGAGCACTTTCTCCTGTTTGGAGTAACAGCTCACTGGCTGAACAGTTCCTCAGTGCACGAGTTCTTGTGTCAGCTGCACCCACACCCAAATCACCCGTGGGAGTGTGGGTGGGTGCCCACACAAAGCTGTCATCACCATTTGGGGTGTTCAGCAGAAAGGTGTTTGTGCTTATCTGAGTCTTATAGGTAAGTGGAAAGGAGTCAGCCTGCCTGGGGAATAAATGCTCTAGAAGTGGCCAGTAATAATTTATAGGGCATCTGGCCAATGACAATGTGAATTTTTCTCACAACTTATAAATCTGCTGTTAATGTGGTGTAGACTCCATCAAATAGTTGATTCACACATTTCAAGTTTCGGCTGCCTGTGCATTTAAATTACTCCAGAGACAATCTATACACTTGCTTGACTTCAAATGAAAGGTCATCAGCATCAGTCATGTCCAAAAACTAATAATTAAGACTTGGCTTTGACTCAAATGCAAAATTAATCAAAGTCATATTAATTATGAGTTCTGCAAAAGTGCCTGCCTGTCTCCATTATACTACAGCATTAGAACCTGGTTTGCATCTCTCTTGAGACAGTGGGTGATGAATTTCTTTTGTTGGTCAAAGTTGTGTATACATGCTGTGAAATCATGGGATTTGTGGTGAGGTATCTAATTACAAAGAAATGGGTTTTTGACTGTGATTCTTTTATGAAGGGTCTGAGTCTTAACTGTTACTAGGCTTGGAAAATGGTGTTCTGTAAGTCTGGAATTCAGAATAACAGCCTGTAGTGTAATTTAATAATGCTGGTAGTGGTAGGTAGTAACAAATGTAATTTTTTGTAGATTTTTCATGTTTTTATACTTGCTTTGCTTTCGTGGCTGATTACCAGTATCCATACAAAATCAGAATAATATGAAACTATTAAAATGAAAAGATGGTTGCTAGGAAAAATGCCATAATTGATCACACAGAAATTTTGTAGTGTTGCTAGAAAACTTAGCTTGGCATTTCAGGTGTTTGGTGTGGTACTGATGAAAGCCCTGAGGCATTCACAATTCACATGGGGAAGCATTGTAAGCTTTTCCCAGTTTTGTTGAAGCTATTACATTTTTCTCTAGTGAAAAGAAAAATAAAAAAAAAATATAAAAAAGGGGGCATGGAGAGTGGAACAGCTTATGTGTCCTTTTATTAAGGCACATTTATTGTGCCTGTTGCAGGTGTAGATTTCTGGGCAATGGAAACACATTCAGTAGTTGCCATTTGGAGGCAATAATAGTAGGTGATATAATAATAGGTAATTACTGCTTGGGTAGCTGATGTGTCCAGAGAACAACTGTGCCAGGTCTTTTCTTAGTGCTTGGAAAGGAAGGAAAACTTGCACTGCCACAAGTTCAGAGCCTTCTTCCTGCTGATGTTATTGTTTTATCGGTGTTGTGTGACATGTCACAGGAAAACAGCAACAAAATATCATCATCTGAAAATCTAGCTCTTCAGTTTCTCACATCCTGATTAAAAAAAAAAGGTACTGCTAATAGTCTTGGAATAAATCCGTTTAAATACTGGGAAAGCTTCAAAGGTATTATAGGAATTAAATTGTGTTTGCAGAGAAAGGATAGAGGGAGCAGCAGAACAGAATAATTTACGTTGGAAGGAAGCTCTGTGCCCATCACAGCCAGGCCAGCTCCAAAGTTAGAACAAATTTCCAGAGTTTGATGTGGCAGCTTGGAGCCTTATCTGGCCACATTTTGAATGTTTCCATGGAAGGAGATTCCAGAGCCTTGCTAGGCAACCTCTTCCAATGTCTGACTGCTCTCATTGTGAATGGAAATCTCCCTGCTATCTAATTCCTTGTTGCAGGGCATTAGCCATCTGCTCTATAGCTTGTTTTGAATAGTATCGCTTAGTCTTAATGAGTCCTGTGAGGCAAAACACTTAAACTCTCACTTTTCAAATTCAAATAAACCCGCTGTGTTCTGCAAAACTAATTGTTAGTGGCGGGGGTTTCATTTCTTTCTTCCCAGTGAAGTCCTGGGTATAGAAGGTGCAGATTTGAGGGAAGTTTTGGGTTTATGTGCCCTCTCCTTGTCTGTGAAATTACCATCTGCATTTTATGCAGCAGCAGAGCCATCCTTCTGTTTCTCTGCTCATGGTGTCTGTTTGACATGCAAAACCTGTGCTAAAATGCATTGCTCAGATATTTTAAAAAAGTGTTTACTTTCCAGCTGAAATCTTTATTATTAATAAGTCATGTTTAGTCTTATTAGCAATGTACCTGCTTTTTATTTACAACTAAAAGGACAAATTCATCTCCTGGAGAATTTATTTCCTGGGATAGAATACAGCATTTGTGTCCGTGCTAGAATGGAACAATGGGAAACTTCCCTTCCTGAATAACCCTAGAGCACTTCTGGAATACAGTCCTTTTTCTTACTCTTAATTGAGGAGTGAGTTATTAATGACTGAGAGCTTGTTGGCAGCTCCTCTGCCCCTGGAGAACAGAGCTGGCAAGGTATTTTCATTTTTTAAAGCTAACAAGGTGTGTGCACTTGTTTTGATAGCAGTCCTAACCTAAGCACCTAAGATTGACCAGACTGCAGCAGGCCTGGTTTGAAAGGAAAGTTTCAGCTTAAAGCTGGACTGTGTAACAAACACGAAGTTTAATTGTTAGGGTTACAATTTATTTATTTATTTACTTATGATTTTCTTTGAAAACATCTCAAGCTCCTATCCCACTGTTTGGATGTAGACACAAAGTAAAACCTCACACAGAAATGCATTTTTAGGAGACAATACTCCTCAGTGGTTTTGTGAGGAAATAGATCCTGGTTGCTTTGCAGATGTTAACACTGTGTGCTCACTGAAGATACTTCCTCTGGAACTCTGATTTAATGGAAAAAACTGGAGAGCTAGAACCTTTATTAACCTTTATTAACCTTTATTAACCCAGAGCTGTAGGACAGGTCAGTTCTCAGCAGCCAGGGCCATCCTGGTGCAGTAATTGATAAACCCAGATCTTGTTCACAGCTCCCAGGGGCTCCAGGGTGAGGATTTTTCTAACAGGCAAGGTTGGAAAAAGGCTTCTGGTATTGCATAAGTGGTCACAGCTTTCAGCTGGAAATATCTCACTGGAAATGTTCATTATATGGGTTCCTTGTACCTGACTTGCTGTAGCAAGGTGTGTTGGAAAAGGGTGGCAGGTTTCTAACACACCAAACATTCCCTGTGCCCATGGCTGAGTGGGACACTTTGTGGGGTTTGGTTGGTTGGTTTTGGTTTGTTTTTTAAACCAAGACCGTTTGCACTGGAATGTTGTGGCTGTGTGAGCTCTTGGATTGTTGGCTTGTCCTTTAGTCAGCAGAGTTGTTATCTCTCAGGAACTCATTCCTCTGAAAAATCAAAATATTTCTTTGTGCCTCACTCTGTGCTGGGGCCATCCTGGTATGTGGGCAGCAGGGTCCAATCTGTCATGCCTGAAACCAAATAAGCTTTACAAGAGGAAAAACTCCAAATCTTGAAATAAGAAAACACATTATGTTTTCATTTTTGCCTCTTTGAGGTGCAGTTCTTTGAATGGCCATGTTTTTTTTGCTTTCTGAATATCCTCAGAGTGTTACTGCTTTGCTACATTTGATGTGAGTTTTGGTTTTGGATGGTGTTTACCTAAAAATTGTTAACTAAACCCAGAAAAAATTAAAATCTTAAATGAATGAGCACTTGGTTCACAGATAAGTAAGATATTTATCTTTAATGAAATGTTTGACAGAGGATAGCAAAAGGTTAGATAGTACTGTGAGGGGAAAGTTTATAGAAACCCCCGATTTTAATTGAATTTAATGAAATAGTAAATAATGTTGTTTTATATAGACTGTGCAGCTGCACAGCTAAGGTTATTTATTGTCCTCTGCATGAAAGTGTAAAGAGAAATCATTGGAGAAATACCAGGTTAGAGGAAAAAGAAACATGCAAGAAATGGCTTCCACATAATTTCTCTCTGTGACCTCATTAAATAATAAAAATTGTGTCAAATGTTGTCCAGCAGCATTTCAAGTCATTTTACTGGTTCTGTTCTGTGAAAATTACAGAAACCAGAAATTTCTGTTGTGTAATTTCTATGCTGTATCTAAATAATGTGGGAACAGGCAGGTGTAAATAACTGTAAATTGAAGTGTGTCTCACGAACTGAACATTGTAACTGGTTTACTTTTAAAACATTAACCTGCTTAATAATGAAATGCTACAGTGTGCCATTGGCAAAGCTGACAAGAACATAGGGAGGAACTGAAAACATTTCAGACTTGAAAAGTCCCTCAGAAATTTATTTAATTTCTGGAATAGAGCAGCAAAACATCAATATGAAAAGTTCTACATTTTAGAGATCATATTTTACTGGTTATAGCAATATTAATTTTCCTTTTCCTTTTTTCTTTTTCTTTTTCTTTCAGCCATAATCAGCAGACCACATCATTTAGACATCCTGTGACAGGACAGGTTTCTCCAGAAAATATTGAATTTATTTTGCGAGAAGAGTAAGTAATTTTATCCCCGTGCCAAGAGATCTAAACCAGTAATAACACATTTGCTTACAGTAGATTAGTAACTTGATTTATTGACAGTTCTTCCAATACTGTAGAAAAATGTAATTGAAGTTTGGGCTTACAATTTTGCTTCTCATTGTGATAGTGTGTTTTTCATTCTGTGCTAGGACTTGAGGGAAATTGAATCTTAAAAAAACCCCAAAAATTAACAAACAAAAAAATAGAAACAATAATGCTTAAGTCTTGTATAAATATCAGGTACACAGAAGATAAATGTAAAGTGCTTTTGGAGCATATTGGAAGGTTTGCACTGAAGTTGAATTACACAAAATACCACAAGTTTCCATTTTATTTCCTTGGTTTTCTTACATTCAAGATGTTCCACATTGATCAGCTGTTTTTCTTTGTTCTAGAGAAATGGTGTTGAATACATTTGTTTCCAGCATTTTTTTACCTTGATTTTCTGATTAAAAAAATTAACCAAAACCAGCAGGCAGAAGTAAGAAATGCCAGTGTTGAGTCTGGTCCCCGTGGGGTTGGTGTTGGATCAGATCATGAACCATTTCCCCTGAGGCTTCAGCTCCTCCTTGTCACCCTGGCTGCATGATAGATTCTCTCATGGCATGACTGGGTATCCTCCCTGCACACAAAACAGTCTTGGATGAAATTCTGCATCTCTTCTAAAACCAAAGGGCGAGGAGAATGGCACAGCACCAGATAGTTTTTATTTTCCAGGCCAGTTTTCCAGCACTGTCCAAGCATCCTCTGTCCCCTCGTGTGTCCCCCTGCTGTCATGGTTTGTGTGGCTGCCTGCACAATTCTGAGCTCTTTGCATTTCAAATTCCATGATTTCATTTCCTTTACGTTTTGGTAGGACTGCTATCAAAAGCAGTTAGAGCATGAAGAAGAATGAGGCCAGGAGGAAATGCTGGTGAACACTCCCAGGAGAATGAGCCTTTTCCAGCAATGTGTGACATGGAGAAAGAGAGCTCACAGGTTCTGATACAGCTCTGAGAAGAACTTCTCGAATGGTTTAAAAGCCAAACCAACCAACCCAAACCAACAACAGCAGCAAAAACCCCTAAAAATCCAGCAGCTCATAAACAGCTGCTCTCTCCCAGGGCAGAGCAAAGCCAGGGGCAATCCTGTGGTAAGATACCTGGTGAGAATGAACATGAAATACAGCAATTGAGGAGAGGACTGTGATTAGGGATGGCTGCTGGGCTGGAGGTGTCCCCAGCTGTCCCATGGCATGCAGGTGCTGTGCTGGCTTTACTCCTTTCCAGCTGCTCCACCTCCCTGTCTGTTCCACTTCAGCAAATCTCCCAGGAAGCATGGACAGCAGCCTGTGTTCCAACCTCCCTCCCTTAACTGATTTTTAATTTACCCGTTGTAAAGGTTCAGTCAAATTTAACGTGAAATTTAAACATATGTGCTGGAAAATAGGTGTTTAGATAACCCCTTGGAGCTCCTGCCTGGATTAATCACACTTGCCTAGGCTGTTGTTCATTTTGTAGTCATGGTAGCTGATAAAATATTAAGAACAGGATTGCAAGAAGGACTTGTTGGTGGCACGTGGGTTTAGTGATCTTTATGTTAGAAACTTCTTTGGAAGAGAAATGGAAGTGCTTGTTAGGAGGGGAGTCTCCAATCCTATGAGATGAACATGTAGACTTCAGTTACTTGCACTAAGATGGTCTCAAAACCAGGAAAAATCTTACACTGTAGTAGAATTAGTAGGGAGAGGTGGTTTTAATTCTAAAACAGGAGGGAATAGCTGGAGTGATAGAAGAGTAAATGATTCTAGTCACTGCTGAGGAGAGACAGTCTTCACAAGAATATTTCTCTGAGCTTCATTATTGGCCTGAAGAACATACAGTGCTTTTAAAATCAGACGTTTTTAACTCGTCAGTTAAAATTGCTTTAAAAACGTCTTTTTCAAATGCGTGGGAGGCTGTGGTTCGCTGAGTTTTGCAGCCCTGGTGTGCAGCACTGGGGGTTTACACAGGGGCTCTTCACCACGGTGCTGTGTGGGTTCCTGCCAGGTGCTGATGCTGACACACCTGCATGTGTCTGGGGAAAGCAGGAGCTGTCCTGGAGCTGTCCTGGAGCTGTGCCATGTTCAGTCCTTGCCCTCGGGCATCAGGGATCTCTAGATGGATGGTGCTGATGGTGTGTCAGGCTGGAATCAGTGGGATGAAATGATTTCCACCAGAAGGACTCGGCTCAGAGGGGCAGTCCCTGCATGGCCATGGAAACTTTCCATCCTTTTTCCTGTAGCTGAAGATCCCTGTCTGGAGCAGCAGCTCCTCAGGGTTTCACAGAAGGTGATTTGTTCTTCAGTGCTGTTGTGATGATTGATTACTGACTGCTTGATTTTGATTTAAGGCTGGGGCCAAGGGCTTGTCACCAGATGTTGACTGGGAGCCAGTGGGGAGAAGGAAGCACAAACTTGTTCAGGCTGCAGCACACACATCTATTTAAAAGGACACATTTTACATCAGCAAAATAATTCACAGTCATGTAGAAATGATGAATGTGGGGACTGCTCTGGCCATTCCTCATCCTGCAAGCAGCATTCTGGCAAGAAGATTTGGAAACAAGTTTTGGAAAATGACCCCAATGAGTGATGTAATCCTGGCTTGATTATGACTCAGTTGTGAACCAAATGCCCTTGATTCAATTGATCAGATGAGACCTGGACATTTTCAGTAGAAGGCTGAGACTATTTCACTGCTCTTTTCCCAAGGTGTTTAAACAATATCACACAAATTTTGCTTTTCAAGCTGACCTCTCTTTTTCTCTACTCCATTGTAGCTGGAACCTGTGACTTTTGAATTCCATTCTCTTTTGATCCTAATACTATTCCTTCTTCCTAAAGGTGTTCTAATTTCGATTTTTTTTTTTCTTCTACATAGTGATTGGTAATTCCTTATTTCCTAAAACTATATTAGCTGTGACCACTATAAAATCCCTGCTTTGTACTCTTTTTTTTCCAATCTTAGCAGCTTTGGTCACTTGGTGTGTGGGATGTGTGTTCTGTACCTTTCACTGGCTCTGCTGGAGAGCCAGCTTTTCTGCATGTCACTTTTAGGTTCCTTTTTTTCTGATTGCTCATAGGTCACTGCAAGATTCAGCCTATGAGCTCACTGTTTGTTATAATAATTTAATTGTACTTTTTCTTCTCTATTCCTCTACTAATGATTATTAACATACCTTGGCTGCCATTACTCATTGAGCTGATATTTCAAAATAACCTTTCCTTGGCAATGTTGTTTTGAGTGATAAAAGCTGCAGAGGTGTTTTTTTATTTTTTCCTCCTTTGAATTACTTTTCTGTTGTTGGCATGGAATTCACTTTAGCATCATGCTTGCTCGTACCTGAAGATTATTTTTCTATCTGTTTCTGCCAGCATTTCAGTTTTTGTCTAGAATAATTTTTATTTTCTTTCGACTGGTTCACCTCACAGTTTTTAGGATCACTTTGAGATAATCTGAGTACCTTGCTGCATGGGAAGCCCCTCCATTTCACAACTGCCCCTTCATTTCTGTGCTTTGCTTTCATGTTTTTAATGAACCCTTAATCCACAAAGGGACCTTCCTTAAAGAACCGAGGGAAAAGTGAGAATTAATGATAAATCTGCCAGCCAGGTGTTGGGTTCTTAGTTAACTCCATTGTTACACAGGCATTTCTCTGAAAAGAATCTATGCTAGAAGTAATTGGGATAGCTGTATATCATGTTTGGATGTCTCTGCCTGTAACTTTGTTTAAATAACAGTTCTTTAGTTGTGGGCAGAAAGAGGAATCAGGCACATGCAGCCATGTAACCAATGTTAAACACTGCATTAGGAGCTGTAGGATCTTTGTCATAGCACTGTGTTTGCAAATGAGAAGATAGTACTTTAAAAAAAATAAAACTTGAACATAATTGTAGACATAGGGGGGAAAATAAAATGTGGTTAATCCAATGAGTGCTGTCCTCTTTCTTGCCTGTTTTTGTGTGCCTGGTAAAACCTGTGCATCACCTCTGGGGAGAGAGCCATCTTATTTTATCTATTACATTTGGTTACTATAGCAGCAAAAATATCAAGTGGAGAGGAAAGAGGAGACCCAAACAACCCCAAAATAAATATCTACCTTGTTCACATGCATAGAAACACTAGGAGAGGTTTGGTTTTTTTTAAAATCTAGCTGATTAGGAAATCTATTAGCAATAAAACTACATTGACACAGTGTTATTGCATCATGTCTGATTCCACCAAATAAACTTTTTAAGTCACTGGCATGGATGTGGATCTTCCAAGTCGACTGATCTTTATGATCTCTTGTGAGTATTGCATCTTCAATATGGTGTAGTAATTTATTTTTTTTTATTGTTCTTGTTCAATGTCGGGGTTTTTTAATAACTCAGATGTTGGCTATGTCATTTTTTCAGCTGGTAAATGTGGTTTCTGGAGACATACTAGCAATGTTTAAGTGGAGCAGGGAGTTGCTCGACAGGAGATATTATATAGAGTGTTATTTTAGAGTATTTAAAAAAATATACAGAGTATTGGAGCTCCAAATGGACAGGCTGCAATCCTGTGTGTGTGTTCACACACTCGGGGGAGGCACAAGGAAACCAGGCTGGAACAATAAAACACCACCAAAACAAAACCAGGATGGGGTGTCTTGGATAACAAATATTATCAAACATCTTTAGTAATAATCAATTTGAATTAAAGTTTCTGTGTACAGACTCCATGCTGTGGTCACTTATTTTTCCAGTTGAATCTGTAAATACTCTTAGGACAATGTTAATTCCCTTAACATGCTGGGATGTTTCAGGTAATTCTTCATATTCTGTCTATTCCTATTTGCTTTTAAAAACACTGAGAATATTGATTAGCTGTTAAGAGACTCCAATACCTGAGTTTTATGTTCTGATTTCATGCAAAAAATCTATTGTATCCTCCTGATATACAGATACTGAAATAAATTTGCAGTATTTTTGTGTTTTCTCTTAAATATGAGTACAGCAAGTTTGCCTCACCAGTTTTATAGAATAATCATGTATTTTCTCTTTCAGTGGACTTAATGTCTCTTTTGAATTGAAATGTCTTGCTATTTGAATTCTTCCATGGCAACAACCTCACTTTTTTTTTTTTTAAAAAGCATTTTTCTGCTTGTGAATTTGAAGTTTGTAATGAATTTGATACTACTAGAAAGGGAAAGCCTGGTTTCTTGGCAGTGATTACTTTTAGTAGCAAATGGAAGAGAAATTATTGTATGATCACATAATAAATGCTTAGAAATTACGTTTTTATCATTTTGTATTGTATTATGATTTTCTCATGATGGTCTTGTTAAACATATCGTTTATTTTCCTCTGTAATTCTTGTATTTTTTTTTGAAAGTGAAGCATTTTTAACCTGCTGTGAAACAGTATTTTGGGGAATAGTGAAAATCTGTTAAATCAGAGTAGAATTTTTAAATTAAAACCATTCCTCTGGGGTTATTCCTTCTTCATTAAAATTTTTTTTTATTGAAAAATTTAATTCCAACTCGTCAAAACTTCAATTGTATTTTTCATTTTCATCAACAGAAATAGCTCAGTCAGGCAGTGTCATATATGGGGAGTTTTTTAATCTGCATTTTGCAGAGGCTGGATGAAAAGGTGACTCAGTGCTGCAGTAGGGTATCTGTCCATAAGACTCAAATTGAGGCAAATTGACTCAAATTGAGGCAAATTGACTCAGACTGACACAATTCAGTTCTCTTGCTTTAAAGAATAGCCAGGAATTTTAGGGGCTGGCTGTTCTTGTATCTTGGACCTGAGGTTATATGTACAGTCTAGAAAGAAGGAATTTATGCCAGATATGCAAGATAGAAATAAAATGGATCCTAAGTTGTGTTATTTACTTGCAAGATTCATTGAAACCCTGGTCACAAATGGAAAAATATGCTTTTCCTGACAATAAACCATCTGTGCAAGCTTTTGGACAGATAATTGCTCAGGCTGTAACTGAGGAAGAGCAGTGGTGGCAAATACTTTGTCCTCTGTTAAACCTTGTGTTGAGCTCCTAAAATCACAGAATCTGTTCTTGTGAGAACTGCTCAGAATTATTCTGTTCTCTGGTGGGTTCACAGCTGGATTTCAGTGGTAGCAGCAGCCACGTTTGGTGCAGCTTGGATACCATTTTTGTTTTTTTCTAATCATTGGCTTTGGTGGCTGGGAAGAGGAAAATCGTGTGCTGTTAATCGTTTGTTTTGTTGTGTTGTCTTTTCTGATGTGACTGTGTTGCTACTTGTTATTTGCTAAATGATGTTGTTAGTGATTTTTGAAAATGCCACCTATGGTTTTAATTTCATTCAGTGCTGCTGTCAAGATTGGCTGCTGAAGCTTCTCTTCACAGAGATTTTATTTTTCCCTTGCATCCTCTCAATTCTTCATCTGGGTGGCTGTGCTGAATTCTTACTTGTTGAACAGGTTCTTCTGGTAGGATTGACCTCACTTATCCTTTAAATGGATATCTGAGCTAGTTATCAGGATTTCTGGCATCTTAGGATGACTCAGAAATTACACATTCCTAACAGCTATCTGCCATGAATTGCACCATTTTGCTTAAAAGGTATTTTAATAATTCATATTGTGCTATGAATCATATTTTGGGCAGTTCAAAGATACAGCATTAGGTTAGTGAAAGATCTAACAGCAGTCTAGACTCAGTTTGATTTTAAATGAAAATCCTGTTATTTATTGCCAAGTTCTGATTCCTGTCCTTTTCTCCCCAGTACTGATTCTTTCACAGGTTTGTGGCCAAGTCTCTAAACTGGGCACACTTTGGTTACCTTCTCTCTTACCACACTCCCTGTTAATTCTTGGTTCTCTCTTGGGTTTGCAGACAATTTGGCAAGTTTCTTGCTCCTGATGCACAGACAAATACCAATCATCATTGCTTGAGAAAGAGCTGAAATCAAAATAACAGGGGTGGTGCAAAGGAACTTGCAGACACATGGGAAACATTTGACTAACTTGTCGATCACAAACTCTGAATATTAAATACAAAAAAGCTGAGTGTTTGAAACAATGGGCTTTAGGTTATCTGGTTTTGTTTGCTTCCTAGGCAGAATTCATCTATGTCCAAGCAACAAATAAACCAAAGGCCTTCAAGCATGGTCAGTGAAACGTCCACTGCAGTAACTACATCTGCTGTTGATTCCAAACCTGGCTCTAAGGTAAAGGAAAAAGCTCTTTTTTCAGCTTGTTGATCAGAACTTCACTAATTTTAAATGCAGTATTCTTATGCTGATTTCAGTAGGGTTGTGGATTTAGCCTAGAAGTCTAGAGAGACCTGAGGGAAGAGGTGATGTCTTCTGGCCAGACACAAATCTTTTAGCAGCACTGTTCCAGCTCTTGCAGAGGCACTGTAAAGCCACATGATTGAATGGTAACTTCTAACACAGTGATTATTGTGACATGGAAAGTTTGAGTCTTACCAATGGGAGTAAATATATGTAATATTAGGATTTCAGCAATTTGTTTTGGTGTTCCAGTGTTTATGGCAAGAAGTGATGCATGATACCAGGAATTTGCACTTCTTACTTTTTCATTAAATTTTATTGCCTTTCCTCCTCTTTGTAACAATTAAATCCTTTCTGCCATCACTGCAGTGCACAAACAGTGCAGGCACCAAGTTCACACACATAATGTTGAATATTAGAGAAGTCCATTCCTTGTCACTGACAAAGGACCTGTGTCTGTTATTGAACAAAGTATAATAAAGTGCTGTACTTGAAGTGTCACCATCTATTTTAATGCTTCTTTGACCTTGCAGTAAATTACAGAGCTGTGAGAATGGCAGTGGGTGGATAAAAAGGGATAGAGCAATATTGAAAGAATTAGCAGAGATAAGATAATTTTCTAAACTTTGACTGCAGTTCTTAAACTTCTCAGTTGCTTTTTTTTTAAATGCAAAAGTTGTAAGACTCTTATATAAGTGAGTTTAAGAAATTACTGAATTGATTGCAAAGATATTTTGTTCAGTTGGAATACTTAAAATCTTTTACTAATGCTCTGAAGTGCTTGGGTATAGGAGATGATACAATTTCATGAGAAGCTAAAAATTCTTTTTTTTAAAATTATTTTTTAAACCCCTAAGTGTATAAGTTATTGGACCAATACAAAGATTGTAGTGTATCAAGAATATCTTTAAAGTGCTAGATGAAATTATCACTGCAGACAGTAAGCTTAGTAGGTTACTTGAATTAGCTGAAATTCTTCTTTTTGATATTTGAAGAGTTGAACTTAACCAAAGTATGTTGGCTTTTGTTTCTACCGTGTTTATCCTCCTTGCTCTGATTTTTTCAAGCCTTCATTAGAGGCAGAAAGCTCATTTTTCCCCTCTTTAAACCAGCAGATTTACTGGGGGCCTGACACAGTGCTTGGAGCTGGGGAATTCTCCAGTGACACAGTTGGCTTCCACTTAGCATCACACTTGTGCCAAAAATGTGCATCCTCTGAGCCCTGCTCCTGCATCACTGCCTGTGTGCACAGCCTTGACATCTCTTCTCTTGTTTGCTAGAGTCATTCAGTCCTTCACAGCACAACATGAAAATGATTTCAAGTGAAACTAGCAATGAGAAAAAAATGCTGTCAAATAAATGAGCTGTGTCCTTCACTTCGAGGCTGACTTCTGGCAGGTTGAGAGTAGATTTTAAGGTCCTTCCATCTACTTCTAAATGTTTCCTTCCCTGAATTCCATAATCATTCTTTCAAAGAGTGATGCAGACATGCAGCACAATCACGAAGCCAGAGACATTTGCATGTTCTCTACTTGGCCATGGCTAATTTTTTTTTATTTTTTATTTTTATTGAATGCTTCTATAATTGATCCTGCAAATACCATCACAGAATGGGGTCTGCATGGTGTTGGAATCCTGGCCAGATTCAAACTGGTTTTTCCTACAGAGCTGAGCATATTTGGGGCCAGTATTTTGATGCAGGAGCTGTCTGAATAATAATCTGAATACTTTAGACCAATGCAGTGTATCCTGCTTTTGACATTTGAGGGGTGTGGGGCTGAGGGAATGAAAAGCAAAGTGTGACATGCGGTGTCTGCTGTGCTTTGTTTTATTCCAGAGCAGAATGAGATGATCAATACTGAAGATTATATGAGAATTTTAATTAAATAAAGCACCGTAAAATAATAATTTTGGTTCCATTATGGGTATTGGATTGACATATAATATACAGCCTTTGGAAAAATTTTCCTGCTTCTATGCCATAGAAATTGTTTGGTCTTTTGACCAAGTCCAAGGATGATTTTTCTGCATTGTGGGCTGCATTTTTTAAAAATTAAGATTAGAGAAAGTGCTTGATTGAAAGATCCGATTTTTTTTAAAAAAAATCAAATTTAAATGCTGCCATAAGGTTACATCAGCTACACTTCAACTGCTCCTCAGTTCCTGCACCCTTCCAAAGATCTGGATGAGAGAAAGATTAGGGAACTAAATTCTATACATTCTGTAAATTGATTTCTGTTCAGCTGCAAAGCAGAAACAAAGTAAAAACAAAATAAAAACCAGATGTTTGACTTTCAGGGCTTTAACAACTTTGGGCCTCATTATTTTTCATCCCCCTTTTTAGGTAGCTGTTGCACCTTAACATTTGGTAACAATTTTGAAAAACTCTCCTGTGTTGTTAATTCTCATTTTCCTTACACAGAGCCCATCTCTGGCTGTGTTTCCCCAAATCCAGTGCCCTGCAGCCTGGGGGATCTCAGTGCTCCATCCTGCCCTGACCAGGGCTGGCAGCTGCTTTGTGCCAGCTGGATGGCAGGGCCAGCTCCTCAGAAATGCCACCCTGCTCTGCTGCCTTTGTGCCAGCACCTGGGCACGTGGGACAGGTGTGGGACAGGTGGGACAGGTGTGGGATTTTTCCTCACCTGGTGGCTCCTGTGCAGGCTCTCCCTGAGCTGGCTGGGGAGGTGGCAGTGCTGAGGAAATCCTGCCCTTTGACAGCTCCTCACAGCTCTCCAATCTGCCTCACTGTTTTTTGTGCTAGAGCACCAAAAAAGAAGAAAAAGAAGTGCACTTACTTTTTTCATATTGATTGTGGCTATTATCTTTAGCCTTCATTAAGACAGGAAATTTAATGCAGATTGGTAAAGCCTGGCCTTCATCAATCAAACCAACAGAATCCATGTCAAGTTATAATATTTTGCTAGAATTATTTACATTATGTGCTGTCTTCTAGTCCAGATGTTGCCTGACTGGCAGGAGCAGTACACTGAGAGATTTTTCTGACGTTTCTGATTTTTCTGGTGTTACCCCCTTGTGTGTGATGAATATACTTGTTTGCAGAGCTGCTGTTTGCCTGCAGCCCACAGAGCATCTGTACCCTGACAAACTCAGAGGTTAAAAAGAGAGACACTGCAGGAAAGAATGTGGCCAGCTCTTTTCTTGGAGAAGTTGGCAGCAGCTGTAAGGGTAGTCTGTCCTGCAGCAATTGGAGGAGCAAACTGGAAAAGAACAGGCAAATTACTCATCGAGTGATTCTTGCTTTTTCACAGGTGGATGGGCCTTGCTTGTTTGTTTTTGAAATAGTTTTGTCCATGTGAGTCAAAACTGAGGTTTCACTAAGACACAAATCATTACCTAGTCCTTGTGATTTCCACTGGTTGCTGTGTAGCACCACTGTCTTCTCCTTTTGTTTGCAGGGCCAGAGTCCAAGCATTTTATGAAGCTTTCAGTGTTTGAAATGTTTGAATTTAAACAGGAAAGAAAAATTACAATCCACCAGAAAAACCCCATCAACTCCCCCTCCCTCCCAAAACCCAAACAAAGAAGAGCAAGAGTAGAATTCATCTGCTCAAAGTCCTGTGTGTGTAAGAGACTTGTGCAATATTATCCAGAGGGATTTGCATGCAGCTCTCCAAAATAATTTCCCAGACTGAAATTTCCACAGTTCTGCCTTGACCCAGCAGTGCTGCAGCTCCTCAGCAGGGGCTGGCACACCATCCTGATGTGATGCAAGTGCAAGATTGACTTTGCTCTGTTGTAAATGTCGTTGCTGTTGACTTGCCCTTGAAAATGCCGTGGCTACTTTGTCGCTGTGTAATGAAGTATAAGTTATTGCAGGGGAGAGTATTTGCAATATGAAATGAGCCTCAGAGCAGTGCTGTGTGATCATCCTTTCCAGGTTGTGAAGACTGGACACAAAGTTCACAGCTTTGGAAAGAGGGATCAGGCGATCAGGAGGAATCCCAATGTTCCTGTGGTGGTCAGAGGCTGGCTGCACAAACAGGTATGCATGTGCTCACCTGTGTCCCATATATATTCATATGTGCTCATATACTTCAGTGCAGTCATCAGGGAAGAGCCAGAAAACAGAAGCTCGAGTGTTGGTGGCACAGGGCAGAGTTGGGGACATCCATAATGAGGGATTCATGCTCAGCAAGTGGGAAAAACAAGGTTTACAAATGGGTTTGGTTCAGAAGAGGAAGCTGATAAATGGGCATCACCATCACAGCTCGGTGTTGAGGCTGTAACTTCGTTATCTAAGTCTGGTTATTTCCCCTGCTTTATCCTGCTGGCTTGTTGTCAGGCTGATCTTTGACTCCCTCAGAACACAGCCTGGGGTTGGCTCTGAAGGCTTTATTCGACCTCTTTGGTGATGCCCTTCCACCCTGATCAAAGGTTTAATTCCAGTTCCCTGTGCCTTCTTGTTCTCCAGAAGCAGGAGGGAGAAAATGATGGGAAATTACCCATTGCTGTCACAAAGAGCAGTGGCCAGCAAAGACTGGATTATGGAATTTCATCCACTGAACAGAATTCTACAGCTGAACTCTTAAACTGACAGAAACACATCTTTGAGTGTAATAAGTCAATAAAGCTGTTTGTTGTGTGAGAGTAATTGCCCTGCTGCTCGTTTGGAGCAGGATTGAGGGGTGGGCAGGAGAAGGAGAAATCTGAGGTTTGCAGTTATGGTTTTACATGGACAGGGAAGTGAAAGAGCTGCCAGCTGTCTGCTCCCTGCTGGGGGGAGAGCTGGAATTCTGCTGTTTCTGCTCTCAGCTCTGTTGACATCCACTGCCCAAGGCCATTGGTTTTCAGGACAGTCAGAACTCGGACACAGTATGTGTTGCCAGCCTTGTAGCATGAAAATGGGAAGGGAAGAAAGTCCTTCCATACTTAATTTCATGGCAGAAAGGAGGAGGGGAATAGCTAGAGCAATGCTCTATATCCTTATTTCCTTCTGTTCCCTAACCTTTGCTTGTAAGCCCCTAAAACCTGAAGGTGCCTTTTATGCTGCTGGTCTCATCAAAGCCTGCCCAAGCTGAAGAAGTTGGACTTGCCTAGGTTATAATCTGGCAATTTTAAAAGCTTCAGGAATTAATTTCAATGCAAATATTACTCATTTTGATAAGGTTATATATATCTATATCTATATATATCTCCACAGGCATATTATATTATACTTCATTAAAATTTGCACATTATGCATCCTGTTTTATTTCCTACGGAATATTTGATTAAATTACATTTTAGGCGTGGGTAACATATGGTGATTGAATTATAGGATATCATTGCCTGAAATGTGAGGTTGTACCTCACAGCTGTGTAGTGATTTTCATTTTGATCTGCAGGCAGTCCTTGTTGGAGTTTGTGCCATCCAGAAACACACTTTGTTTCCTTCTTGCAGATATAATAAGCATTGGTTGTGTACAAGGTTAATCTGAATGCTGTTTGGGATGAGGGTTTAATTACTTAATGAAAATTAGCAGTTTGAATATTCTGCCCTCGTTATTTTATAGCTGGATATTTCGCCTCTTAGTGCACAATATTTTGCAAATATTGTTTTGCACTGAGCAGTCATATTTAGGTAAACTTCTCCCTGGACCAACACTGTGTTTGTTAACTTTCCCTCATTGAGGAGTGTGCCTCATTTCTTGCATTTCAGGACAGCTCTGGGATGCGATTATGGAAGAGAAGATGGTTTGTGCTCGCTGATTATTGTTTGTTTTACTACAAAGGTGAGTAGGTATTAGCTGTGTTAGTCTGAGCACTTCACCTGCACCCATCATGAATGCATGGCCTACCTGAACTCTGCAGATGGAGTTCGTTGCTCTGGGATGAACAGTGAAACAATTGCTTGGCCACACATCTTAAATGCACAGCAAATTCTAGGCCAGAGCAGGGGAAGCAAAGGATGCTGTGTGATATTTTTTTCACATAATTTATGCCTGGTGCATGCCACTGTTTATGTTTATGCAGAACATCTTGACTGGAAATAAATAAGATTTATCCCATCTCTGGTCTGTGTTCTGGTACCTACTTCCTTGCATTTGGACATCTGAGATTTTTGAGAATGAGCTATGACCAGATCAGGGCATTGGTTCACTTTTAATCCTGGGGATGAAGTAAGAGTGAGAACTTCTGAATCCAGTAATTCTACCCAAAAAATAGGTTAGATGTGATCTTAAACCAAACTAGGTATTACATAAGGTTATTTTCAAGTTTTGAATGCTTCATTTGCTACAGTATTTGAAAAGCATTCCAGAATATCAGACTTGGAATTCATATTTCTAGGTGCTGCATTTCTGCTGTTGATCACTTGGAGCCAGCAGTAAGAGAGGTTTCCTAATTACAGCAATTAGCCTCGATGTACAGTGCTATATGGAAGGTCCATCGTGTTATGCAGCCTGTCACTGCTCATTTGGCACAATAAATTTTATTCTTCAAGTGTATTCTTCTGGCTGAAACTAAAAAGTGACATCCACCCCCCCCCCCAAAAAAAAAAAAATTAAAAACTTCAATAAAAACCCCAATCTGGTTAAGAAAACAAACTCTGTTTTTCTTTAAAATCGTTTTTCTTTAAAACGAAACCATTTTCCTGCACGTATTATTGGTGTTGAGTCCTGAGTGAATTCATGGCCACAGGGACTCCAGGAAGGGCCATCCCAGAGCCTGGAGAGAGCTCAGGAGTGGAGTCAGCCCAGGTTGCCCAGGGTTGGATCAAGGCAGGCATTGAAAAGCTCCAGGGATGGAGATGGCTCAGCCTCCCCCTTGGCCTGTGCCCCTGCTGCTCTGTCCTTGGGGAAAGAATTCCCTCATATTCACTCTGCACCACTGGAGTTTGTGCTCAATGCCTGTTTTCTCTGTGTCCATAAAGGAGAATATATTCTCAGCCCACTGAACGGTGCAGGGAATTAAATCCTGGTTTTTTATTCCACAGACAGCAGAGAAGAGTCTGTTCTTGGGAGCATCCCACTGCCTAGCTATGTCATCTCTCCAGTTGGACCTGAAGACAAGATCAATCGAAAGTTTTCTTTTAAGGTACATTTGTAAAACTTATCAGCTAATCGTGGTTTGTTTGCATTAGAAAAGAACTTCATCTGTGTTCCTCTTTTACTTGTTACTAGTTTTTAAAAGCAGCCAGGCTTGTTGGCTGCCTGTTCAAATGTGACATGGCACTTTTTTTTTTTTTTTTTTTTTTTTGCTTATGAATTGACATTGCTGTCTGTTACTTCCTAAGTGTCCTCAGAGCTTAATGAAGTGTTTCTGAGTAAAGAGCCTGTTTCTAAAATCAGAAATTAGTATTGACAAGTTGTTCCAGTACTGTTTGCAAACTGGAAGCAAAGTTGTCTTATTTACTTTGTAATAGAGTACCTGATCTCATAATGGACTGATGTCTCTTAGGTTTTGTGTTTTTTTTTTTTAAAGAAAAAATTGTCTCAAATCTCACAGTTAGAAAATGACAGCACTTAGTCATCCTAAGCGCTGTGGACTTTTTAAAGGAAAAAGTACTCTGGTTTGATATAGTTTGTGGGTGGTTTTGTGTTTTTTCTTTTTCTAAAAATAAATGTAATATTTTATTTTACAGTTCTAGTCTCTTTTTAGGGTTTCTGGTCTTTGTCTTGTCTTTATTGTATAATTGTATATTTTACAGTTCTAGTCCTTGTTATAAAAGCCCAGATATGAAACAAAACATATACTTGATAGTGCAAAAACCTGACTCCAAATGATTGTCAAAACTGCAGCACTTGGGCAAAGTTCAGAAACTTCTGTGCCTGTGGCAGATTTAAATTCAGAGCAGAACTTGTTTTCCTATCAAGCAAATTAGATGTATACTTTAAAAGCAGTTTACACATCAGGTTTTGACCAGGCATACTTTAGGAGATCCAGAAGGAATCTTTGTTTAAATATTTTCTGTGCTGAAATTATGAAGAACGTCTGACTTTCTCTTGCATTTTGATTTTTTTGAGGTGCCTTTTACTACTTTCAATTCTATGTTCAAGTGGGTAATGGTTTGAAATTTATTAAGCAAACATTAACTTGGGAAATGTGTTTAAAAAAGATCCAGCACACTTTGTGGAAATGTTTATTGTACTTTTTCAAATGCATTGAGCATGATTTATCAGCAAAAAGCTACAAAGAAATCTTTGTTTAAGAAAAACATTCCACCTCCAGTATTTACTGAGTGTGATTCATAGATCCCTCCTTTTCTAGAGCCTTTTCCTGGGAGGAAGCATGTACTGAAAGAGGGCAACTCAGTGCACTCTCCTAGAGTTCTCTGCTTTTTATTTTATTGGGTTCAGATGGTGTTTACACATGCTCTTAGTAACCACTGGCCAAGTGGAGTGGAATCCATGGTTTGGTCATGGTTAAACCTTTCCAGAAGCCAATGCAGACTTCCCCTGTTCCTTTTAGGATATCATACCTGTATGAGCTCTACCAGCTATTTAATCTGAGCCTTTTTCTGAAAATACCATGAGCCAGTAACCTGAGACTTTCAACACAGGGTGATTACTAAAAGGTTGGTGTAGATAAAAGCAGGGTGTTGATAGCAAGAGAAAGTTGATTGTAGAAAACTCTGTAAAAAAAAAAAAAAAAAAAAAAAATCAACATTTCATGTATCAGTTTGCCAGGCCGGTTTTAACTCTGCTTTAGGTGTTTGATGATTGACTGCAGGCTGGATGCTGCTGGATGTGATTTTATTTAGACCCAACCCAAGGGCAGCAGGAGGATTTTGGGCACAGACCCTGTCCAGCACCCGTGTCCAGTGGCCACAGGGTCACCCACAGCCCTGCTGGCATCCATCACTCAGCAGCATCACCTTTATCTCCTCCCTTCAGAGCACCCCCAGCCCCAGAGGGACATCGTGTCTCACAGCCACAAATAGAACACACGGGCAGATTAAGCCCAAAATAAAGATAAGGTTTTTTTTTTGTTTTTTTGTTTTTTTTTTTGCATTCAAGACCTGAGCCAGCAGGGCAATGTGCCGTGGTGCTTTTGACATTTGGCCTGCTCTGCATTGGGATTGTTGTAAATCTTCTGTTACAGCACAGGGAATGGCTCCCACTCGAAGGGGCAATGAGTTTGGAAGCTAAGGAAACAACAACAACAAAAAATTCAACTCTTTTGTTTGCAAAAGGAGGAAGGAAATTTGCTAAACAAATACATGGATGCTTTTTGTATATGATTTGGTTAGAATGAGGCTAAATATATTAAAATACATACACACTGGGGTCTGTGTTAAACCCTGCAAAGTGTTAAAATGTGTCTTGTAGGAGTTCTCAAAATCCTTTTCCTTTCATCACCTTCTGAGGTCCAGCTGAAGTTTTTGTGTCTCTTTGGGTGTTTAACAATTACAGGCCTGCAGAACTGCATATAGGCTTTGGAAATGCAATAAACACCTACTTTGAAATATATCAGTATGTGCATTGAATTTTTTTTTTTTTTTTTTAGTTTAGAAACTCTGCTTTTAGGTCTCTATCTTGATACAGTTTTTGACTCTTGACAATTTTGTCACTTTATTTTTGCCAAGCAAAGTGCTGTGAGTAGCTGGAAGCTGTGAGTGAGCCTGGAACTTCAGGGTCCTTTCTGCAAATTTAATTCAGCAGCTTGCATCCTAAAGATATTTAGTTGATCTAATCGCTGCATTTTAAAATTATAATTTTTTTGTTGATGCCAACATGGGTGAGCACAAATTCAGTGATTTAGATTTTAATGTGAAAAGGCTTGCAGGACAGTAATACACATCTGGAAATACTTCCTGTGGTTAACAGAGAAATGACTGTACTTTGGAGTAATAGAATAATTTTGGACATGGGTAGCAGCAGTTTATGGAGGTTCTTGTCATCACAGTCTCTTTAGAGGCTTTGTTGTCTTCAAACATGAAAATTATTTTTAATTGATCTTGCTAATGGAAGTATTTGTTCATTACTTAGACCCCTGAGACCAGGACAATTTTCCTGTCTGTTCCTTTGATCTCTCTGGTTTTCCTAATAAAAATTGACACAGTTTGTTCCTTTATGTTCTCAGTGTTGCACCCTTAGGCTCCCATATTGCTCTGGGTCTGGGGAGTCAGGTGAGGAAATGCCAAGGGCTGTGAATTTGAGAGATGCTGGTTTTGAATTTGGAAGAGGGGAGGGTTTGAGCTTCTAGAAATCCTCAAAAAGCTCAATATGATTTAAAGGTGAAAGGTGAGTTAGGTTGTAGTGGGCTGTTGTTGAGTTTGTAGTAAAGGCTCAGAGCATTATTTCAGTTTTGGCTCAGAAAGGATTCATAAATATCAAAATTCAGGACAAGGAAGAATTTTCTGTATATTACAGCTTATTGACAGAACTAACTTGGAAAGATTACAGTTATTAGAAAACTGTTCCCTTAGTTATCCCTTTTTTCTGTGACTGGTGGCTTTTTGTCAGGTGTTTTGAACAAGTGGAGGTGAACATAACAATTACTTTTAGTATTTTGTTAATTTTTTTGTTTGTTTTTTGTTTGTTTTTTTTTTTTTTTTTTAAAACATGAATCTTTTAATGATTTTAACTTGTTTAATTTTTTTATCCTTGTCTTGTCCTGTTGATATCCTCTTGGGGTTTACTGTCCATTTCTCCTACTGTGCACTATGGGAGAGAGACTGCTTTTCTTCTCAATCTATCCACATTAAGGCATCTGAATGCATGAATAGGTACCAATATTATTTTTCCCTCTTGTGTGTATGGTGTACATGTGAGCATGTGCTGTGTTTTAGGCTTTTTAGTGTGCTGTAGCCATCCTAATAGCTTTGGCTTTAAAAAAAAATCCCAAACCCAAAAGGCCTGCTAGCTTCTGTCTGCCAGCAGGGACAGCTACAGGACATTGGTTTCCTTGCATATAAAACACACTACTAATAAATAACTGAAATAAATTTGGATTTTCCCCTTAACCAGCGTTACATATTGTGAACTTCAGGATATTGTGTTTATTGATAGTTGCACACTGTCTCCACTGTCCCTTCTGAAGCTGGCAATGTTTATGGCTGTGAGAGCTGCAGTCTCTCAAGGCAGAGTGGTGCAGCAGAAATTGCATTTTGATACTGCAGAATGTTTTCACCTGCAGCCTCTTGGGCAGTGCTTGTAGCTGTGTTCAAAGAGGAACCTAAAACACAAGTGGGTTGTGTTGATCAGGGCATACAGGTTAATTAAGACAGCCCTTAAATCCATTTATTAGTGTGCTATGCAGTCTCTGCAGATAGTTACCCAAAATTCTGGGTTTTTTTTAAGCAAGTATAAAACCAGTGAATGGTTGTGTCCTACTGAATCATCTGCTTTGCTGCAGGAATTGATTCACTTCTGAATTTTAACACCTTCTGTGGGATCAGCCCTGCTCTGTGAAGGAACTCTGTAGTCACAAGGTCTCACATTAAAGTCCCCATTTTCCTTTCTATCTGGAGCTGCCAGTTTTTGCTCTCTTCATACACTGGATGGTAGTTGTAAATTATAATGAATTAATGCTTCTAAATCGTATTTGCTTTGAGCATTCTTGAGTTCTGAAAACGGAGGAAAAAGGACAACCCCCAATAACAAAGAAAAACCAAAGAACTCACCCAGGCAAGCATGAATGAAGTTCTCTGATTTCTAAATATGTGCCTGATCAGAGCTATTGTTTAATATCTGTAAATCCTGTTTTCCTGTGTTTAGGTAGGCAGGAATGGTGGGAATTGAGAAGAAACCACCTTGTATTTCCTTTTCAGCCAGTGTTGTTGGGAAGTGGAGACTCTCCTGAGTCTTCACTTCTTTATGTAACATTTTCCTCCTCTTCCTTCCCCTCCTGCTCTTTACTCAGCTCGCTGTTCCACTTCAGGCTCCAGTTTTCACAACAAACTCAGGCTTGCTTGCACAGAAGGGAAAAGCCACATTTCACACCTTTGGGGGAGCAGCCTGCCATAGGAAGGGAGGAAAATTTGCACAGAACTTGCTCAGAAGCACTGCAATAGCAGGAACATCTTTGGCTCTTTGGAGTTGTTGGTGCAAGTCTCTAAGGTCACGGTTATTTGGGAAATTCTAGATAAACAACTGAAGTTATAATGTTTAGGAAGGGCTGCACTGGATTAAATAGCCTGAGTTTTGTCAAAGCTGTTGTATTTCTGAAGCCATCTATGGTTGTCCCTTCAATATATATTTTTTTTTAATTTTGATTTAAGATGACGAGGGGAAGAGGATTTCATCAATATAAAAAGACCCATTTTTTAGGCGGGATTTGCAAAATACATTTACCCTTTACAAACAAATATAGCCAAATTAAAATTTTGATGTAATTATTTTTCTTTTTAAAAAACCGCATGTTAGCAGTATTTAATGCTATTAGTTTTTGTGTGTGATAGGAGACTTAGTTTTATACAAATAGGTTTAGATTACTAATTTAATTTTAATATAATTACAAGAGCTTTCAAGGAGAGTATAGTATCTTCAGGTTTTTTAGGAAAGTAAGGAGATTAATCTCTCCCTGCTAATAGGAAGTGTTGCAGGACTTAAATGATTTGGTAATATTTATACTATTGCTAATACAATGAGATTTGATTAAATTCAACTAGCCTAGAGTTACAAAGATACTCCATATTGAATCAATTTGAATATTGAATCTATTTATAGAGAAATTTCCCAGTACCTCTAGTTTGCAGTGGAATTTCATGGAGTATTTTAGTGTGCAGAGATAATGTTTTATGTGCTGTGATAATTCCACCAGAATTACTAACTTTTATCAGTAAGTCTTTGTGACTTTGCAGCTAATACGTGTTCACGTGCATGCTTTAACCAAAAGATCTTAACATGAATTATAATTGATTCTTGAATTGCTGTTTAATTGCTTAAAGTGAAAGATTTTTGTCTGTGTTTTGTCTTTATAAATTGCTTTATTAAATGAGTTGGGAAAACTGGCTTGCTGATGCACATCTCATTGAGAATTCCTTAAATTTGTTTAGTACAGGGGATTTCTTTAATTCGTGTACTACGGTATTTATGGCAAATGAAATGTATCAATTAAAAGAAAAGCTGAAATTTCCCACTGTCAATACCAGAAGCATACCGGCCTTTCAGCTTAATAGTCAGAAGCAGAAGAATTTCAGTAAAAAATTGGAGAGCCCTTTTGAGTTTACTGCAGCGACATCGCGCTAACCCACCCCAAATTCAACAACCCGCCCGGGGACCTGCAGAGCCGTTTCGAAATTAATTTTTTTGGGGGTGTTTTTTTTTTTTTGGAGGGAAGAGGGGCTGCCTGACTTTTTTTTTTTTTTTTCTTTCTTCCTTGTGTTGTGCCAGGCTGTTCACACAGGCATGCGGGCCTATATTTACCAGAAGAATTGTGTGGTTGGCTCGCAGGCGGAGCACTCGGGGATGCGCACGTATTTCTTCAGCGCCGACACGCAGGAGGACATGAACGCCTGGCTCCGGGCCATGAACCAGGCTGCTCTCCTGCAGACACGCTCCTCACTCCAGAGGCAAGTCCCACTCAGGAGCTTGAGTGCAGCCAGGGAAAGGGGTTTTTGAAGCCTTTAAGTGAGGCAGAAATAAGATGCGCGGCTACGTGGTCGTGTTTCATGGCAGGAAGGAAGAGCCAAGTTTATTCACAAACACACTTGGTTTTATAGCAGGACTGCAACTCCCAGAGCAGAGAAAAGGAGATTGGTTCAGAGAGAAGACACCCCATGGCCAGGGCCTGGGCACACACCACAACAGGGCTTCTATCTTGGTATTAATTCCTTTTTATTGTGACCAAATTATCACCCTGGGAGAAATTCTCCCTGGCCTTGAGCTGGACCAGCTCGTGGGCTGGGAACAGAGCTGAGAAGCTCCTGCCTGGAATATTTTTCAGGCTGTAATTTTCTTACTTTCTCAATATGTATCCCACACTTGAGCAGCAAAAAAATAAAATTTGTGGTTATGGTGCTGGATAGAGAGCGAGCAGTGACAGTGACACACTGTACTGGTTTCACCTAGGGAGGAAAAACTCATAGAAAAGTTCTGTCTATGAAAAGTTGATAGTGAGTAATTGAAGGCTGGCTTGGTTGTTAACAGCCTGAAAAACCAATTGGAATAGGTTAGTTGGCTCTGTGAGCACACATTTTGAAGGAAGTTACCCTGAACTTGGCTCTCTTTTTTTTTTTTTTCCAAGTGACAGGCCCTGGCCTGGCTCCACTGCAGGAGGACCAAGACTTTAAAAAAAATTAAATTAAACCAAAGCACGCACACAGACCTCTTTAGAGAAAAGAAGGCGTTTATTGAGAGCACAATTCATATTTATAGCATCTTCTGCAGAGCTAAGACAGGACAGTAGTTTATTGGATAATTGGGGTAACACCTTTGGGATAGTACTTTAGTATGAGTCCCATGGTCAATACCAGGTGTTAATTTAATGTTGTTAATTCTGTTTTGTTTTGACTAAATGATTATCTTGGGAGAAAATCTCTTTACTGAAGTTGACACATGATCAGCTTGGGAATGGAGCTGAGAGAGCAGGAGAAGCTCCAGCCTGAGAAGGATTTTCCAGGCTGTAATTTTCCTAAATCTCTAAGAGTGTGTCTACAAAAATTTAATGGATCTTAAGTAAATGACACCCATGGTGGTATCTGACACTGCTGGTCAGGTTCTAGCTTGAGAGCAGTGAGAAGCCATTACATTGTGAGAGAAAGAAAAAGTTGTTGAGAAGTTTTTTGTCATAAGGAGACGAAGAAAATTGCAAATGAACTATGTTATGTGTCAAAAGCAACATGAAACTTAGAATCCTAGAATCTTAGAATTTTATAGTGTGTCAAATTTTAATATCAGGATTTCTGATATTATTTAGGCAATAAGGTAAATAAGTAAACTACTGTGCTGTAGTGCAATTTTTGCAGAGCAATTTTTTCCTCAGGAATAGCTCCCCAATAGAAATTCCCTGGGCCTTAGTACTGACTTAAATGTAGATATTGCTTTGTCCTCTTGGCCAGAAGTGAGCAGTCCCTGAGGCATCTACAAAGATATGAAAGACTTTTTTCATATTTTGCCATGAGCAGTTGGCAGCTTAGTTTTGGTTTTTTGGCTTTCTGTGTTTCCTAGAATGGGAAGATTTTTTTTATGTACAGCTTTCTTGTGCATGATATTATGTTGAGCACTTTTTTCATGTAATACTAGTATTTTCTGCTTCCTTGACAGCACAGCAAAGGTAACTTTTGTCTAACTGGGATAACAACTGAGTTTTGCTAAGCATATTTATTTTAACATGTCAAATTTATCACAGTCTGCAGACCGTGATTTTTGTGGGTATCCTTTGTAAAAGAGCACCGAGACCACACCAACTTTTCACAATTAAACAGTGTTCATTACTGCCACGCATTTTCTTTTCAGGGAAACGGAAAGAGTGGATCAGCAAGCTGTTCCCCAGGTCAATCATGTGGATGCCTGCAAAGACTGTGTGAAGGCAGAGATTACAGACACAAAGGAGAGTTATCAGAAATCAGCCGAAATGCTTGGACACGATAAGCGTGAAGAGATAAGAAGAGAAAAGGAGGAGGAGCAGCGTTACGTGCACAGAAAAGAAACTCTGGAAACCAAAAAGGGAAAGGCTAAGCACGCGTTAACAGAAGCTGATTCATTATTTCCAGATTTAACGAATTCATCTCGGTCCCAGGCAGCCGAGAAGAATGGGACCCTTCCGAGTTCATTAAGTGCCAGTGCTGGCCTGCTGCAGCAGAACGGGACTGGCTCCTATAAAAGAGGGTTTGTTCCCAGGACGAATCCAGATAAGCAGTTCCAAAGGAAAAGTAACATGGCTCAAGTGGAGCACTGGGTAAAAGTCCAGAAAGGAGACACAAAAAGGTTGGTGATGGGCCTGTCTTTAACTACATGGCCAAGTGGCATTGTCTTAAATTAAAGGAAAATATGTGTTAGTAATCCCTTTGGTGCAAATCAGAACAATATCAATATGTAAGAAAACTTCCTTTGTCCTTCAGTGAAGAATGGTATTTTTTAGGCATTTATCTCCTGGAAAGCCAATATGGGATTGGCTAATCAAATCTCTTTAATGTTGTCCCAGTATTGCAAACAGAATAAATGAGATTAGCATGCCATTTTATTTTCCTTCATTTAATCACTGTGGATGCTTAAAGCTTCTTAAAATTTGCTTAAATTTTGAAGAGCCAGAAAGTGAAATGCAACCCTCAATTACCTCTAATTCATAAACAATCACACAATATAAATTACAGGTAATTGTTTGTTTTCCCCTTTAACAAGTAAGGAATGCTCATTACTTTCCTCTGTCTTCTGTTCCTGTTCCAAGCATCTGCTCACTCCTGTGTGTCAGATCACTGCTCTCACAGTCACAGCATTGAAAGGTCTCCATATATTCATTTAGTTGATGAAGATGTCCTAGGGTGGTCTCCAGGATTCTCTTTTCCATTTTCTGTCCCTGAAAATTACATAAATAGCACCAGTAGGTGAAGTGCACACTGGGATGCTTTTGTAGCCTGAAAATCTCATAATTGTTTTGCTTTCAAAGTTAGATTAAGTACCAGTTGGAAAAATGAAGTGATGAATGTGTGCATCTGTTTCGAATGTCACCTTGTGTCAAGTGGCAGGAAAAACAGTTGGGCTTGATGCTACTTGTGAGGATTTTTCAAATATGCTTATTCTACTGAATTAGTGTTTTATAAATCTGCTCAAATCTAATTATAGTATAAACAAACAAGAGACACTGGCATGTCATTGGCTTTTAGGATGGAGAAAACATTTTGGGAGCTTTTAAAATGCTTTTTAAAGCTAACATTTGTCAATTTGGAGCCAGTAAGACGTTTAAGGCTTGCTAATTTTGTGTGGCAGTCCATTCTTCTACTGTTTTATCTTCGAAATTACCCTTGAAGAAGCTTTCTTACTTTTAGATATTATTTAATGTTCTTTTAGACTGCTAGAGTCAATTAACTTCCATATTTTTTGCTTGGCTATCAATCAGTACTTCCCAAAAGAATATGAGTTTAATGAAAAAAAAGCACTTGGTAAGTTCATATTACACGTGTCGATTTGCCTGAAATAATAAAGAAAATGTTTGAACTAATGAGCTAATGCTTAAAAAGCTTCTGTTGATGTTTTTTACCTCAGAAGTCCTGGCAGTGACAGGCTTGACTGATAGTTAAATAAGTATGTTTTTTTTTCCTTATTACTCCTTCCAGTAAATGAACTTTAGGGGCGTGTGTCAGGTGCAGAGTTCACGTAGTGTTATTGCAGGGGCCAGGCTTTGCTCTAAAAGGAACCTCAGCTGGAGCTGCTCAGTATTCAGTGAAAATACAGATAAATATATATGTATATCTATGGGTATCTATTTCTAGATACAGCTCTGTGTCTGCATATGCTTATCTCTGAAAATGCCTATTTTGGCTCAGTTCACCTTGTTTTCTTTGCCTTTTCCTGACAAATGCCATTTTATTCTCTGCGTTCAGAATAAATTGCGTGTTACCTTCCCAAAGATTAATAGAGTCATCTTTTAAATGGCACCTCCTCTTAGGCTGCTGAGGTGCTGCAGTGTAGTTAAATGATGGATAGAAGTGCAATGTTGGTTGTCAAATCCCTTCCTGATTGAACGGTGTAGAAATTTGAGCTGGAGATGATAATTTGATTGACATTCCGTTTTGATTTTAGTAAGTTAATTTTCTAAAGCTCCACGTTGATTGTTACTCCAGCTGAAATGTTACAAACAGGGAACCTCTGAGGATTCAGAAGGCTGGATAATTCTAGAACCCAGAATGAGCACAGTTTTATTTGTTTCCTGGCTCAGGTGTGTACAGATTCAATGCTTGCCAGCAAGTTTTTTATAACAAGAAAGAGAATTCTTTCAGCTAAAGGGATGCACACCAGTTACTGAAGCTGTTCGTGTGACTGTTTGTAGGAATGGCACCTTTTGTATGGATCTTTAGACCTTTCAGACAGGTGTTTGCTGAGCTGTAAATGTCAGCTGTCACTTTGGAGATCCCCCTCTCCCGGTGGCCTCTCAGTGTAGCCACAATCCCACTCTGTTCTCAGCAGATGGGAATACCTGCTTTGCTAAGGTTCCTGCCAGCCTTTCAGAGAGATCTCGACAACTGGAGGAAAGTTTGAAAGGAGGTTTTCAGGACGATTTGGGTTTAAGTAATTAAAGGTCAAGTTCAGGACCTTCAAACAGCAGCTGTTCAGAAATTGTTCAGTTTTGATCTGGTTCCAGTGCCTGCATAAACTTAGTGTATAATTATGAAGAATTTGGTATTTCTAACAGTTGACTTGCATTTTAGAAATATATAAATTCAATTAAGCTTAATATTTCCCCACTAGATGCAATCATGTTGAGGTACTTCCTTCCTTGCAAGCAGTGTTAAAACCTTTCTTGTTATGCAGAACTTTCTGTTCCTTCCTGATTTGCTTAAGGAGGAAACATTACTTGTCTTTGTTAGCTTCTGTGCCTTCCCATCAATGGGCACAGTGTTTCTAATAGCAGTACTTGTTGTCTTTTGAACATCTATCTTCTCTTTTTACAATATCTTCTGTATGATTGCTTCCCATTGCAGACCCTGGATGATTTTCATGGCCAATAGCCATATAATATGACATCAGGCCTTTAATGCACTCTTTAAGGTCTGCTTTCCTTTTTATATTCTCTATAGCTCATCATTCAAATGAGGGACATTCTCGAGAACAGCTGATTTTGCTCTTAATGTCTAAGAGAGCAATAGTCCATAGTCTGTTGTGGACTAATTTGGGTCATTGTCCTTTACCTAGAAGTTGGTGTGTCATCTCAGAGCCTGTTTTTACATGATGCAAATTATCTCTAAGCATCTCAAACCTGGTGTGGTAGAGATGCCACCATCTTAAAGCCTGTCATCTCAGCTTGAGGTTTCTCCCTGCTTCAGATGCTGAGAAAACTCAATGTGCCTGTATGTAGGCAGTTGCCTCCAAAGTTCAGCTCTGAATGTGACTTCTCCTGTGCCATGTTACACACATTCAACTTTGTTCTCTTTTTATAGCAGGCTGAAGTATTGCATGAAACTGGCTCATATCAGCTGCTCCACATACTGCTTTCAAAATAGTTCTTTGAGTTCTTCTCAGAAAAATTAATTCTTTTCTAGAAGGAAGGCATGATTCCCCTTTCCCCCAGCAAAACTCATGGGCCCTTTCTTTTCAGGTTGGTTTTGCTCCTAAAGCTGCCAGCCCTGGTGGCTTCATTGACTGCCACCAATTCCAGCTGATCTCAATAATTAATGTCCTTTTAATAATAAATGTCCCTTTAATAATAAACGCATTTTAATATCCAGTTAGAAAATAATCACTCACAGATGATTTGCAACATGCCATAGTTTGCCTGTGCCTTGTTGAGGTCTCCACTAAACTGGTGTATAGGAGTGGGTGAAGTCTCTTCTCTGTTTTTCCACAGAGAAATCACCCAAGCAATCTCTCCTAGCTTCGTGCCTCCCTCAGATGTGCTTTTGAGGCATTATCTTCTGCAAGCAATCTCAGTCCTTCTTGCTATGTAGAGAAAATGCATTTCTACCACATGATTCTCATGTGGAAAAAAACTGGCAGCAAAGTACAGGACATTCCAAGTACACCTGATGTAGAATTAGAGAATTAAAAGAGGTTGCACGACCAGTGTGTGCTGATCTTTGAGTTGCCTGTGTTCATACTGCCTGCCTGCTTTAAGCTTCACTCTGAAATTCAAGGTAGCCTCAAGATTTTGTGGTATGAGAGAGCAGAGCTTTTCTGGATTTGTAATCCTCCAGGCAGTGCAGGGCAGTTATTCTGCTTGCTGCCATGAGGAATTTTGTATCCTCTATTTCAGGACAGTCCAGCAGTTCCAAATCCTGCAAGTACAAGGAGATGGTGGCAGCTACTGAGCAGCAGTTAGTGGTAGCAATGCTTTCCTCCTTGCTTCAGTTATTCTTGGATGCTGAACAAAGATTTTCTTTTCCATCCTGGCCTTTCTTTCACGTGGAATTCCTGCATTTTCCAAACCATCAGATCTCCCTCTCATGCAGAGAGTGGAACTTATCGAGTGAAGTGATGAGAACATGCTCAGAGTTTCTCTGTGTGGTTTTGTGCTGGGTTGGTTTTTTTAATTTAATTTTTTTTTTTTTTGTGTTGATGCTTTGTTAGCGAGCCTGGCATAATGGTTTCCTCTTTGGAGATTCTGAATCAATGGGAAAATGACTGCAAATATAAAAACCCCCAGATGTTTGACTGAGGAATCAGTAATCGGGAAGGCTCATGCATAAGCATGAGGCTACAGAAAGATTTTTAAAGCAGGAGAGGGAGCTAACTAGACTTTGTCAAAACTTTGGCCAGTTCTGTCCTAACTACCTACTAAAATATCTAGTTTATAAAGTTTAAGTGCTTTATGGGTGCAGTGCTAAAGCCAGATGTAATACCTCTTTTTATATCTGATTTTTAAATGGTCTTTGTTGTAAAAAGTCTCATGTTCTCAAATCAGAAGAATCAGTAGCATGAGGTGAAAGGAAATCATGCAGAGCTAGGGACTTTGAGCAGATTCTTACCATTTCTTTTTTGCGCCATTCACATGAACAAAACCTGATATATTGTGGGATTGGTGAGATTTCTTCTTGTTTTTAAAGGTATTTGTATTGAACATGCATTTGTTTTCGTAAACTGCACCACCTAGTGGTGAGCACACTTTCTGTGAAAAGGAATATTTTTATTTACAGACTCACTCGATAAACACGACAATAATTCCTTTCTTCACGTTCTTGACTTTCTTTTTAGTCTAAGCACATAATGCTGCTCTTCCTTAAGTTTCTTTCTAGTAGTTCATCCCGGGTTAAACACTAAATTAAAATCCTGTATTTATAGTGTAGTGTTTGTGTGCAGGATAGGTGTCATTAATATTGCTTTGTCAATATTTCTGTAAATTCTTTTAAAATGTCTGTATTTGTCTTTTTAAGCTCCTATGCTTACTTCATTATTTATCAGCTGCTCCCACTCATCAGCGTGTGCTAAAGCTTACCCTTTTCTTTCTTTTTTTTTTTTTTTTTTTTTTTCCACAGCCTCGCTTCTGATCAGACTCTTACACGTCAGGGTCCCAATCCTCCTTTTCCTGAAAACTACCACACTTTGCCAAAGAATTCCAGGCAGCCTTCAGGGAGCTCACCCCCACCAAACCGCAATTTGCCCAGCGACTACAAATACGCACAGGATCGCGTCAGCCACTTGAAGATGTCCCAGGAGGAAAGGAAAGCAAATAAGGATGGAACTGTTTGGCAGCTCTATGAGTGGCAGCAGAGACAGCAGTTCAAACATGGCAGCCCCACAGCCCCACTTTATGTAGGTTCTTCAGACTTTATTGATCGTGCCAAGTCAAAAAGTTCATTAGATGTTCCACGGTCGATATCTGTTCCGCCCTCTCCGTCTGATATCCCCCCTCCTGGACCTCCAAAAAACTTCCTGCCACGGAGACCACACACTCCTGCAGAAAGGCTGACAGTGAAACCATCAGATGAGAGGCAGACTGTGGATGTTCCTTTGGCTGGGTCCCCCAGGAAGATACGGAATCGTGCTGTAAAGGTTTGTATCCGTTTAACCGATTACAAACCATTCTACACGTGCTGTCATTAATGGGGAGTTTTAGTCGTGGTTCATTGCATATTTCCTGTATGAAAAAGATCATGTATATTGTAAAAGTTAATACAAGGGATGGTTTTCTCCTCAAACTCCTGCCATGCTGATCAGATTTATTAACTTTTGTTGGTTAGGAAAGGAAAATCGGTGGCACATCCCTGTAAGTTTGGAATACTTTTAATAAAAACCTGGAAGGCCTGTGCTTACATGTAAAGAGTATAGAGATGGTAGTATTTTAATACAGAGAGTATGAAGGCAAGAATATAAAACTCAGTAGGGATGGAGTCTTCCTTGATTATTTATTTTTGCTTGTAGCTTTGTGTTTGCCATGCCTGCTTTCTCTACATTGCTATTGTAGTTAGTCTTACAGCTGATTCTGTATTAGTTATGGCAAACCCTGTATTATTATTAATACAATAAAATATATTGTTTTTTTTCATTTAATAGTTCAGGTCCATTTCAGAGTCTTCATCATCGGGCTAACCAAATTCAAATAGTGTTGGTCTGAAGCTTCAGCTTTCTGAATAGATTCAGTGTGGGGTTTTTTTTGTAGGGACTTTTGTACCTTTTTATCCAGAGGTGATAGAGGCTTTCCTATTCAGTACTCTAAATGCTCTCCCTGCCTAAGGAATTTGGGGAAATTCAGGCTGAATCAATGAAGGATTGGCTTGTCTTGGTAGATCTGGAATAATTGGTATTGAAAGCCTCTGTATTCACTTAGTTCTTCGACCTCATCAGTGGACTCAGATAGGGAAAATATTTGCAAAGAGAGGGACTTGTAAATCCAGATACCTATTGTGGGTTTAGGACCGTGACTTTAGGCTGCAGTTTCATGCACAGATTAGGTTTTTTTCCTAGTGTATATATGTGATGTAGCTGTAGCAATTGTACTAAAATTGGTAGTTTTATAATATTCTGTCAGAGAATGAAACAGTCTAGTGATTTACAGCATTGGAAATCAATATTTTTAACTCCTGATTATATTTTACCACCCATTGGTTTCTCCATATGTAAGTGTCTTTTCCTTTCCTGTGCAAGGAAACTGCAGAAATTTTAAGCTTTTTTTATGGCATCTTGGCTTTGCCAATATTGGGAAACATAGTTCCTCATCATTAAAACTTTTCTGTGGAACTTCTGTGAAAGTTTGTAGAGAAAAATGCTCATGTTTTTCTATGTAGGCCCACGGCATCATTCTACATTTAAATGTGTGTGTCTGCAGAAATCCACGCTCCCTCTACTGCTTTATTAAATTCCGTCTAGTTGCACTTCAAGAAAAACAAGGCAGGCGAGGCAAAACAAAACAGCATTCAGTGAAATTCAGAGACAGGAATAAAAATAAATAATGAGACATTTAGTCTGCCTTGAAGAAAGCCACAGAAGTTTGGCTTTAAGAGACAGAATGAGCGTGCAGTAGGCTTTCATATTGTCAGCAGGAAGGGGCAGATCAAGGATGATTATTAAAAAAACCCCTTGGTATTGATGGAAGCCATTGCCACAAGGTGTCAGTCATGTCAGTAGCTTCGTGTTTCCTGGCTAAAAGAGAGCATTCACAGTTGTTGCTATGTGCAGAACAAGGCTGCTGTGAGGGGGCATCATCCAACCAAACCTTGTTCTGGGAGACATTGGATGAGGGGGGACTTGATGAACTTTTTTTTTTTAATTGCTGGCAGTTACATTGCACGTTCTGCTAAAGCATCTCACACTGCCACAATCTGCTGCTCTGCCCTGTTTTTACTGTGCTGCAAAGAGAGAGAAAGGACAGCAGTACACACGGAGCTCTTTGGGGAAAAAAGGCCAATTTATTGTACAGCCAGCCCGGATTTAAAGTGTGTTAGTGCAGCCAGGACAGGACAGGAGCTCATGGGACAATTGGGAAAAACATCCTTGGGACAGCACCTCAGGATGTGTCCCACGGGAAAGACACCAGGGGTTAATGTTGGTGATGAATTCCACTCTGTTTGTCACCGTGTTGTCACCCTGGGAGACTCCTCCCTAACTGAAGCTGCAGTCAGCTTGTCAGCCTGGGAATGGAGCTGAGAGTCAGGAGAAATCCAGGCCTGGAAAGAATTTCCAAGCTGTGATTCCCCAGCTCTCTAAATGTGTATGACATCACAGGTGCTGAAATTTGCATTTGTTCATTGAAAAGTTTTTAATCATCAAAGGATCGGGCTGGCCCGTGAGCGTTACCCTGACCTAAGCCACGGATTCAAACAGAAAATTCCGTGGCAGAGGTGCAGAATTCACCCTCGGCTCCAGCACAGCTGCCCCTGACAGCATCCTCACCTTGTGCTGTGGCTTTTGCAGGGCTCCACTCACCTGGACCGTCGCTCCATGCCTGCCATGGGCTACATGACACACACGGTGAGCGCGCCCAGCCTGCACGGCAAGTCGGTGAGTGCAGAGCACGGCTCCCCTGCTGCCCTCCCACCTCTGCAGCCAAAAAATCCTCACATCCAAACAACTCCTCACATCCAAACTCCTCAAATCCAAACTCCTCAAATCCAAGCTCCTCCATCTTACCTGTAGTGCTTAAAGCAGAAACAGCTCGAGCGAGAGCTTAATCTTAACCCAGTAAAGCCTATAGGACTTTTGCCTTTATCTGCAACGTGAACTGTCTGTTATTACAGGATTCAAGTTCTATTGTGTTTATTTGACCAAATGCAGAGTTAATTAAATAATTGCTTAATCATGTCGAGTAACTGCTTTCTGGGCACTGAGGTGAAAAATGTAATTATAGTTCCTCTCCCTGAAGACTGCTAATTTCCTCTTTACAATGTGTCTAAATACCTGCAGCCCGAAGAGCTAACATTGCTTCTCATTCGATTAAGGAGACATCAGGCTAAGTTGGCTAGTATAAGAAATTACACAATCGCTCAGTTACTGCAGCACTTGCCAACTAATTCCACCTATCAGGTCAGCTGCTGCGTGCCTCATCTGTGACATTTTGTGACTCTGCAAATGCTTCATGAGTGGCATGCTTGAGTCTGTGCTTCCTTGCCCATTCTTTGGTATTCTACAGTGCCCAGGTTGTTTGTGGTTTTTCTTTGCTTACTGTATTTGCTATAAAAGATGAGCGTTTTTTTCAGTTACAGGGTGCCAGTGCATCTGTTTCAAAGTGTCTCCTTCCTTTTTATACTGTGTATTTATACTATTTCTGAAAATGCTGCATCTTCAGAAATGTGGGTTAAAATACCGTCTAAGTTAATTCTAAAGCAAAACCATTTTCTTTGTGCTGCTTTCATGGTGGGGTTGGCTCCCTGTGCCACATGCTGCATCACCTGCAAATTGAAATGCATCAGCCAGTCTGTACATCCATATGAGCTTGTAAGTGTGCCAGTTCTGCAGGTGAACATTGGTTCATAAAAGCTCGGGAGCCTCTTGGATCATCCATGGTGCTCTCGGTGGCACTGGTGTTATGAAACTTGGAAATGTGAAATCAAACACAAACATCCTCACAGAGCTCTCTGGTTCCTATCAGAGCCTCAAAAATGGAGCCACCTGGCAATAGAACCTGGTGACTCTTCTTGGAATTGGTGAAGGCTTTGGCCCAAAACAAAAGCGATTTTTTCGAATTGAAGAAGTTTCATTTCCTGATTACCTCACCTACAGAACAATTGCACTATGATGGGTGGTAATAACAGGGATTTCTCCAAGAATGGGCAGACTTTCTAGTCAAGTCCTCAGCCAGTCTTACAAGCTGATCTGACAAGAATTGTAAGTGAACACCTCTAAAGAAATGCAAGTGTGATCTATTGATTTTATGGCATAAAGGGTTTTTCTTTTCTTTTTCTAACTACACATTCTCATTGGCTCAAAACTTGAGAAAAGGTATAGTTGTATTTTTCTTTCATTCTGAAGTTAATTGCACCCAGGTTATGAAATGCAGATGAAGTAGCAGTTAAAATTCTAGGAAGTTTTGGGCATTTGGGCTAACTACGAGTAGCACATTTGCTAAAGTTAAACTTTATTTTGTATTGCAAATATACCCTTCAAAGAGAGGAGAAATAACTTTGTTATGACTTCTGTGCATGTTTTCTTGAAGGGACTGTAATAAAGATGTTACTAGATCATTATAACTATAAAATTAAACTGATAGCAATTAAAGGTGAGGAAATTAAAAATAAGGATCAACTTGAATGCTGTTACTTAAAAGACAAAATGGATTGTCTAATCATATAAGTGAGATATTTTTCAGAATTTCTTTCAAAAAACTTATTTCATACTTTCCCTGAATAGAGGAATCCATATCTTAAAATGAGTATGAACTGTGATCAAAAGTATTCTAGTGATGGAACAGATGATGTCTTCTAGTTACATCTGACATTCAGTCACACCACTGCAAGTTTTTCAGTGAAGGGCTAGTCAGTGGAAATTGATCTTGAAAAAGTTGCTTTTGAGAATGTATTGTTTCAGGTAGCTCTGTGTTCTATTAGAGGTGGAAACAAAAATCTAGATGTTGGGAGGGGGGCAATGAGGCAGTAATACTCTTGGGAATTATTTTGCCCATTTTTTAGCTGTAAATAGCAATATGCTGGTGGAGCAAATGTGCTTTTTTTATGTGCTCCTACTCTGTTATTTTGTTCTCTTTTCCATCTGTTTTCTTGTATATAGCAAATCAAACTATTCTGAAATGGTTTCTAACATTCAAATGTATTGCCATGTTTTTTTCCCTGTGGACTTACCTGAAGGCGGATGACACTTACATCCAGTTGAAAAAGGATCTGGAGTATTTGGATCTAAAGGTAAGATTTTAGACAAGTTTACTTCATTTTTTATTTTTTATTTTTTATTTTCAACCCAGTTGTCTTTTCTGTATCATCTTTGTACCTGAAAATGGTAAAGTAACTTTCTAGTCTGAGATGGAAACTGTTTTTTGCCTGTGTTGTGCTTAGAATATTTTGTGTCTTTTTAGCAGTGACTGTACAATTAAAGTGCAAACTCAGAAAATGTGGTTGCTTTAGTGTTTAAGAACAACTTGTGTTACTGGTACTGAGATCAGTGATACTTGGGTTTAGGGAAATCAGATAAAAAACCAGATTGAAAACGTTTCTCTGCTGTACCATTGCCACCAATATGAAGTCAACACCTCTGAGTTAAAACTTGTGTTCCCTTAATCCAGCTTTTCCCCTTTAAATCTTCTTAAACTGACTTTTCTCTTATTTGTATCATGTGCCATATGTTCTTGTGAAAATGTGGTTAATTAGCACTGTCATTGTTTTTATGTTATTACAGCTAAAAGATTTCAAATGCACCCATTCATCCATACATCCATAGATAGAATCTGATCAAGGAATGTTAGGAGGTGTTTATTTTTAAAAAAATAATTAAATATTATGCTGAGGGTCTTATCATCTCTGGATCTGGTACACTTGATGGTTGGCAATTTGAAAGCAAATCTAGAATACTTAATATCGGGTTTTGAAGGAAAAAGAAAGCAGCAAAAAGATAAAATTGTTTTGCTTAGCAAAGTAATTTGCCACTTTCTATGGTGTGTGGGATGTCTTGCCATGTATAAATCATGTGGTGTTCCTGAAAATCCAGGTGAAGGGAAATTTGACACCTTGTTGTCTGTCTGGTTTCAGTCTTATCTGGTGTTTGAGTTGCTGAATATATAACCAAATCTCTAAATGGAAAATATCAGTAATACACACTATGCATAGATACAGTACCATACATGTATAAAGATACAGTATTTAGCATATAATACAGGTGATGTATATGTAGTCTAAATGATCAAATATGTAAACTGTTGGAATCATTAATAGACAAATTTAAAATTGGTTGGACACGTTTTGTTTTAAGCCTTGTCCTTGTTGTGTTCATGGCTTTGCCAAGTGTAGCTGCAGCCCAAGCCATCAGATGAATTTATGACAAATTACAATTTAAAAAGTCTCATTACAATGTGAGAATTGTTAATAATCACAGTGTTTTGTCCTTTATAAAACACAGTTTTCACAGTTGAAGTGACCACAGGTCAAGCTTCTGAAAATGTGATGTGCTTATCAAAATTATTGGGAGGGGTTCTTAACTTTTTAGTGGGTTCTGTCCAGCTTAATTTGTTGCAGTCTGGAACATGAGGAGATATTTGGTCTCTTGTGCCCAGGAGTTCTCTTTGTACCTTCCTGCTGCTGTAGCACCTGACAGAAGCAGCCAGAAATAAAAACCTGATGCTTCTGTGAAAAGAAACTTAATGCCAGTTGGGTTCCCTTTCGAAAAATCTTGACACTCAAAATGTCAAGTGTGTTCCCAAAGGAACGATGTAAATTTTCTAAATGGGCATTTCTTAATAATCCTCTTTCAGTCGTGGTCCCAGAAATGTGGAATTTCAGGTCAGGTTGCTGAGAGATTTAAAGAGACCATGTGGAATTTAAGGTGTCCTTGTATTGGTTACGTTTGTGTTTTGCCACTAAATGTAGCAATGCTTTGATTTGTGATGTGAGTTAAAAAGAGGAGTGCACTGCTGGAAATGAAGCCAATGATACAGATTTTAGTAACAGCAAATTCCCAGGTAATGTTTTTAATATCTTCCATTTAAGACACTGGGGGCTTAGATAGAAAATGAATTAGTTCAAATTTCTTTTGACTTCACTGGGCTTTGAATTAAATTAAACAATTTCAATTAGGACCAAACATTTTGGAACTGGAGTTAAAACTTCTTTTCGCTAAAGCCATTATTTCTGAAGATACTTCTTAGAGGTTTTGAAACAGCACTTTTGAAGGTGGAATTGTGATTGAGGAATTCACTGCAGAGTGCTGAGGTGTGACCTGAGAGCTGTGTGACCTCTCTGCTGGTGGAATTGTGAGCTTTGGGGGTCCCATTCCTGACATCTGTAACGAGCTGTGACTCAACTTTTGTTTGAAACAGATAGAAAATAATGGACCTCTGATCAACATGATATACAAAGTGCTAAAGAACTCAGCACAAGGGTTTCTATCCAGTATACATGTAAGACTGCTTGCATTGGAACGTGCTCATCCCATTGCTTTTCCCCAGTAGCACTCGGTGCTCTGCCTTTTACAGGTGTTTTTTTGGTACACAGTAGTGCTTTCTTTCTGTAAAATTGCATTTTTACTTCCCTTTTTTTTCCACCCCCCTCCTCTTTTGGAGTCTGTATGCAGAATTATGGCTGACCTCAGTGTTTGGTTTCATTTTATCGTGTTTTGGAAAGTGAATGTGTCAAGTGGTGACTCCTGTGTGAATTTTTGACAATGTGAAAGCATGCTTGATCTTCATTATGTTACCATGTTTGCTGCTTGATAGTTAGCAAATTCCTTGCAGTTCTGATGATGTAATTTCAACTTATCCCCAAATGCTGTAGACCTGTTTTTATATTTATTCCATTGCTTTGGAAAAGGCTTTTGCATTGTCTTAGCTTGCAGGTAATTAAATATGCAGAATTATTGCTTTTGATATGCTGGTGTTTTATGTTTATATTTAATTAATTGTTGTGATTACATATAGGATTTAGCGTTTAAATAATTTCATTAATACTTTTGAAAGACAGGGTTTTTTCTTCTATAGAACATGTAATTGTTGAGAAGAAAATAAAAAAGCCTGAAAGCTCCTAGAGGCAAGAAATACTATTGATTTTGGTGGTGGAGAAGTAATATTTCACCACAGAAAGGCACATGAGAAGTCTTTAAAAGGAGTCTGCCACTGGAGGAGAGAGGACAATATTTACCTCACTTAGAGTAAAATTTAATTATTTTTAAAAAGCTAACCTGATTCTATAGGTTAATAAGTAAAATATGTAGCTTCAAGTCTGGAGGTTGCCAGTTGGTAAAAAAGCAAAGTTCCTCTTAATACCCCTCCTACCTCACTAGAAAAGCCAACAACTTCAGCTTTTGTATCCAAATCTCTCTTACATTACTGAAGACAATATTGAGGTGAATTTTTCTTCATAAACTTTTGCCTGTATATGAATAAAATATGCTGTATATGAATACTGCTAATGACCAGGTGGTCCTGTGGTAAGATAGTATTTGCTCTAATGAATCTTTAAAAGTGTTCTAAAGAGGTAGTATTAAATCATTAGATTTTAAGGTTTTAAAAAAAATGTATTATTTAGGAGCTTTATTCTCTTGCTCTTTTCTTAACCTCATTTATTCCCAATGAGGGTCCCGTGTAGACAGTGGGAATAATAAACATTTCTACAGACACAGACTTGCCTTAATTTTTAAGGTTGATATGAAGGTTGGAAGTACAATTGAGTATTGTTTTGGTACTGATTCTAAAACTGTGTTATGTGAGAAGATCATCTCACCAGAAATGGAATATGAAACCAGTGATTTATGGAATGAGAGATTTGATAAATGACAGCCACATCAAAATAGATTAATTACATTTAATTCCACCTTAGCATTTTTATAGCAGCCTGTCTTTAGTAAAATCCACCCTGTGGTGAGGAAGATACTGTCCTTTGTAGAATCAAACACTTGCCAAAAGTTGTATTTTTATTCATTAATAAATGCTGCTATTGTTGCAACCTTGCATTTAAATGAACGATTCCATTTCGTTTGGCTTCCAGAAAGCTTTTAGAGCACAACTGTTAAAACGACTCGATTTTGTAGGAAAAGGACTTTTGTAACCATAGACCAGTGGGACTGTGCTGTTTTGTACAGAATTCCAAGCTGCTGCAAGAGTTACTAAATAGCTTAATATAACTAGAAATCCCTTTTGTCAGCACTTCTCAAAAACTAAAGCCAGATTTGAAAGTACTTGTATCCAAAATGTTTTTAATTTTTTCCTTAATAAAAGTGAATGTTTAATAAAAGCTTTCTTTTCACTGCTGAAGCATAATTAGATTTTAGTTTGCAATGAATTTCTTACGTTTTGAAAACGTTTTCCTCTTAGGTGACAGGACGTGACACGTTGAAAGAAAGGAGTACAAAACCTGTCAAGATTGCAGAAAGTGATATTGATGTGAGTATCAAACTCCATTTCTGCACTGATTTTTCTGGTTTTGCTGTGCAGTTACATGATCGTTATTGTGCTCCCTGGGCTGAAATGTTACAAGTGGATATTTTTGTTTTTTTAAAATCTACCCTTATATATGATTTCATTTCCAGGTGAAACTAAGCGTTTTCTGTGAGCAGGACAGAATTCTGCAGGACTTGGAGGACAAAATAAGAGCCCTTAAGGAAAATAAAGTAAGTAGGTTAAAAAGGTGTTAGTAAAATAAAATAGAAACTTTTATCTAATCACAAAATATAAAATTGTAACCAAAAAATTGAATTAATGGATGCTGATTGTACTGTAGTGTATATATACTTCTGTGATAACAAAAATTGGGTTTTATTTTAGGATTGAATTCCCACTCTGAGAAAAACATGTTTTTGAAAGTGAACATTTTAAACCCATCTGCTTCACTGCCTGTGAGCTATAGCTGTCAATAAACTGAGGTGGTTATAAAAATAATTTTTAAAAAGTATTAAAAAATATATCCTAAAATGAAGGTGCCGTTCAGGTGGATGCTTTGGAAGAGCCACTGTGCAAAATTAATTCCATGCTATTTACTCTTGGCTAAATGAATTGTTTGATGTTTCAGACAGTATTTTAAACCTTCCCATGGCTGTTTCAGCCCAGCAGTGAAGGAGAACCTGTCCTTAACCAAAGAGCTCAAGGGCTGTGGTAGGGCTGTCATTGTTCTGCACTGCTTAAGGGCATTTTTCTGAAACTGTAAATTACACTTTTGTACCGAGTGTAAACTGAAAAATCCCCCTCTCCCTGCTTTGTGTTTTCCACGCTTTTGGCTGCTCAATGGGAAGATTGAAGAGAAGAGATCAGATAATTTTGGATGCAATAGGGAGCTAAGGTTCTTGCAGTTTTTGTTTACATGTGAGTCTCCAAAACAGGAGCCCAGTGCCAACCTCTGTTGGCTTTTAGGGAAGACTTGGGGCATGGAAAACACCTTCCATGTTCCTGCAAGTAGATGCATAAATTTCCATGTCAATGTTGTAAACTTCCTCCCATCTTCTTTGCTAGGATCAGCTGGAGTCTGTTTTGGAGGTTTTACACAGGCAGATGGATCAGTACAAAGACCAACCACAACATGCAGAAAAAATATCTTACCAGCAGAGACTTTTGCAAGAGGACCTTATTCATATTCGGGCTGAAATATCCAAAGTTTCAACGGTATGTGTTACAGGGTGCTTGCAGAAAACCCTCACTCAAATCCCAGTTAGACTGGAGCTGTATTGGTCATTGGAGAGGGGAGTTAAGACCTGTTCTGAGCAGTGTTGGTTAAGGTACAGGACACTAAACCAGACAAAAAAAAAAATTAAAGTCTTTCCAGCTTTACTTTTCTTTTTTTTTACTTTACTTTTGGGGGCCTCCCAACCCCCCCAAACCAAACAAAAACCCCTAACCTTTTCAGTATGGCTTAAATTGCAAATATTTCAGCTAGTCCCTTGAAAATATAAATATGATCCCAGGATGTTTTTCCAGGGTAAAAGGAAATGGGAAAATCCGTTGATATTTCAGTAAAAAAAATGACCATTCATATTATAACTTGATAAGATTCAGATGTAATTTAATGCTGTCTTCACTCTGTTATTGCTACCTCCTCATGAATATGAGACTGGCTCTTTGTAAGACTCTCTCTACAATTGCATGACCTACCCTGTAGTAAGGTCTGATCTCTAAAATGGCAATATTATTTAAGTGTATCTAGTCAGTTTGTGCCTGGGGAAAATGTATGGAAATGTATCTGTAGAAAATGCTTTCACAGTCAGCATTTAAAATGTATTTGTGGGTGTAAATAGCAAGTCACTGTAAAAATGGCTGTACTGGTGCAGAGATTCTGTTACAAGTTTTGTGTCAGGGAGCTGGCCAGGGTTTTTTAATTACAGGTTCTTGACTTGGTCATGAAAGCTGTGAAGTGTTTTCAGGTGTAAAATCAAGCCTAAACAACAGTGTAGACTAAAATGGGTTCTTTGCTTCTTTTTATAATAGAACAGCAGTAACTTCAAAACACTTTGGTGCTCGATTAGAGGATGGAGAAAGTGGTTTTGAAGTTAGCACTGTATTAGAGTATTCCTTCTGTTAACAGGAAATGGAAAATGCCTGGAATGAGTATCTGAAGTTAGAAAAGGACGTGAGCCAACTGAAAAAAGCCTTACAGGAGCAGATGAACAGTTCATTGGTATCTCAGGTGAGCCCATTCCAGGCTGGACACACCTGGAGTTCACATTAACCATACTCCAAGTTACCATCTCACAAGAGGAATTTTCTCTGCCGTTCTTGCAGTGTGTTCAGCTGTCCTGTAATTTATTTTGCAGAGTTCAGGCACTGTAGCAGCGTGGCTGTGCAGTGAAAAAAACCAAAAAAAACACTATATTGTCTTGCAGCACATGCAGTAGTGCCATAGTTTCTCATAAGTTGTCTATGCAAATTTGTCATCATTTTATTACGTTTTTATTACATGCTGACATCTTGACATTGATAACGTATTTAATTTATAAGACTGTGCAGGACTTCTTAGTCTTCCATTTATTTGATCTGACATTGTTGGCTTCTTTATCCGTTTTTAAGAGCATCAGTCACTGGTTGTTATTGTCATTACTTGTTCTTCGTCATGTTCTTCTATTTATGGAAAATTTATCTCTGCAGATTGTTTTGTGAAGTGGAATAAGTGTTTAACAGCCATCAGTAATTGAAAGGCAGCTCAGTTTAAAATCGACTGTTCAGTTTCAAATTTTAAAAAGAAGCTTTGTTTGAAGCTTGGTTATTTTCTTTGCTGAAATGAATGTGGAATACCAGATTATTTCTACACACCTGCTTACAGCTGGTGACTTTATTCTCAGGGAATATTGGATTATTTTTCCTTTATGTGAACAGAACACAAGGAGCACAGTTAATGTATACATTTTTCTTAAATCTTAGTCTACTTTTCCAAATATCCTGGACTTAGAGAGGTCACTAGTAAAAATTTTTAGCTTGTTTGTTTGCAGTAAATATCTGATCAGATATAATTTGAAGCCTGTTTATTTTCACTACTAATGAATAAATATTTTGTATCAATGCAAGAGTTGTAAAACCTTTTTTGATTGCATCAGTCTTCAAAGTACATTTTCATTTACTTTTCATTTTTTTAGTTTCTGGAGTCAGAATATGTAATTGAGCTCAGCTGCAGAAAATATTTTAAAGAAAAAATCCCAGGGGAATATTAGAATAAAATAATCCTTGTATGAAATTACTTAGTTTAACAAAGGCAAATTACTCCTTTAAACAAAATACACCTTTTTAGACTACTTTAAGATAAAATTTCCAGTTAGGCATTAAACATGCTTAAAATCCTGGGTGTGTGGCATGGGATTCACCAATACATATGGAAGGGAATGTGGTTTGCCCAGAAAAAAATGTTAATTCAGTTTGATTATCATCTCATATCACAGAAGTGATTAATTATAAATGCACACACAGCCATAAGCACGTTATCAGTTGTATGTGTGTGTACTTTTATATATCCATACATATCAGTTTAAAAAAATGTTCCTGAATACCTATTTTAGAGATTCTAAGGGGAACTGATTTTTTCAGAAAGTACTGAATATTCTGAAAAACTATATTCCTTCAAGTAAGTCTCACTTGAAGTACCCATAATAGTTCGAATTTTTTTGATCTCTGCCCAAGGGCATGTAGACTCAAGATTGTTTATCTAGCATTTTCCAATAGCACTAAATTAATACACACTGTATTTAAAAAAAAAATGCAATCTTTATGGAATATTATTAAAAATACATTAAATTTGCAGGCTCGAGTTGCTGTAGGAGACCACTGATGTTGTTTCTGTGTAGCATTAATTAAGAGGTTAAAACCTAAATGTTTAAGCAGCTTGGTGAGAGGAAATCTTGCATTTTAGAATGTGGCTTCAATTGTCTCTTGCTTAAGGCTTGGGGAGGATCTGGGCATGCTGAATTTAACTCAGATGGGTTAATTTATCAGTGATAACTTTTAGTTGGTAAGTGTTTCTTCTCTGGCTTTATGTCATTCTAAATTATGTTTCTGTTTGAAGGAAGTTAGAGAAATAACATTTTCTCTCCAAGTTACCTTTTCATGCTTGCCAATAAAGTATATTTATACCCCTCTGTAAACAGCAATCTCGGCTTTCATAATTTCCAAATTAATTCATCTGCTTATCGTCCGACCTGGGTCCATTTTAGATCTAAAATATTCTCTTCACATCAATATTTAAGTAATGGGAAGAAATAATATTAAAAGATCTGGCTTTTCCACATTGCTAATCAAACATTTTCTGAGTGGTTTCAGAAGCAGGGTTTTCAGTGCAATGTAGTGGGTTTTTTTCACCAGTTCTGAGGCTTGATTATTGTAAATCCATCATTTGGTTCCTTGTAGTATGATTAATCTCAGAAAAATGAAATGAAATGTGCAAATTTATGGTTTGTGTCTTGACAATCTTTCAAAATATGTCCAATCTATCGAGTGAGTTTACTACAGGCAAATAACATTCTCCATCATTTAAATGTTTGTGTTCTTGGCACCCTGTTTGCTGATCTGTAACCTGGCTGAACATATTTCCTGATTTAAGACAGAAAGTGGAAAGCAATTTATATGCCTTCCTTAGCTCTATGAGGTGTAACAGCTTTTACTGAAGTTTTCTTTCACCCTCAGCCTTATAGGATTAATTAGTAGCTATTTTGCAGCTCATGGCAAGTGATGAATTTCTGGAATTCCTGAGCAGTTTGTAAGCAATTCTTAACTGAAGTGTTTCACTGCCTTGCCTTTCTTTAATAGTACTGGTTTTACTGGGTTTATTCTTGATTTTTGAATTTGCTGTTAGCAGGCTTTCATTAATTAGATGACAGCAGCTCTTTAGGATGATTGGAATGGCTTTGGGACATGCAGCTCGAGGCAAAGTCCAGTCTGTAGACAAAGCTTTTCTTTCTTTTCTTTCTTTTCTTTCTTTTCTAGCTTTTCTTTCTTTTCTTTCTTTTCTTTCTTTTCTTTCTTTTCTTTCTTTTCTTTCTTTTCTTTCTTTCTTTTCTTTCTTTTCTTTCTTTTCTTTCTTTCTCTCTTTCTCTCTTTCTCTCTTTCTCTCTTTCTCTCTCTCTTTCCTCCTTTCCTTTCCCCCTGGAAACCCTTGGTAAAGCAAATAGGATGCAGGACAAGACCAAGTTTTGGAGCAGCAGCAATATATTGTTTTAACCTGTAATACACCATGGTCAGTAGGTCTAACAAGTCAAATATAAGCAGAAATTAAAATTGTCAGCACTTCTGAGTTTAGGTTATCTTTGCTTTTCTAATACAGAATGTTTCCCCTAAATGTATTAAGATGCTTTGTAAGGCTGCTTTAGCAGTCTTAAGTTTGATAGGTGTAGGATTTAAGAACAAATTTAAAATTAAAAGGTTCTGAAACCTCATTGTATATAGAACATTAAACTATGTTTTTGTAATCTGAGCAATATTCTAGAAAAATATGGATTTGTCCCTTTTCCTCGCCTCCTATAGGAAGTGTTCCAAGAGTCAGAAAATGCTCTAATTAATTTTATGGACAAGATGTGTTCGTTGGTGTTTTGTCTTTTAAAACTTTTTATTTTAAAATAATTATTCAAATAATTTCTAAACTCCTACGTTTTCATGTAAGTTCTGAAATAGTAGTTTGGTGGTATCAAAAGAAGGAAAGGCCTGTAATAAATTAAAACCGAGGTATAATTGATTATTTTTCCTTTCACTATGAACAACAGGAGAAAACACAAATACAGAAAGACTTGTGGAGAATTGAAGATGTTACAGCTGGCTTGAGTGCAAATAAAGCAAACTACAAAACCATAGTAGACTCTATAAAGAATCCAGGTAAGGAGAACATGCTGAAAAAATAAAAAATATACCAGTACAGCTGAGTCTTTGGGTCTTGTGCAAATGCTCTGGAAGTTTGTTCTGCTGCAGAAAATCCAGTTAATGCTGCTATTGGATGTGTCAGAAATCTCTGACTGAGCACATTCACTTGGTGTTTCTTTGCTTGAGGTGACAGAAAGGGTTTTTTTTGTTGTTTGTTTTCACATCCTGACGGTGCTAAAATGTAACAAGCCATAAAAAAAAGGAACAACAATAACAATGATGGGCTAAATTCTTCAGGTTGCAGAAGGGATTTCTGTCACCCTTACCCTTACCAGTGTAGTGTCTGTTCTGATCCTGTCCAGGAGTTTTTCTCTGTGTTTTTCCTCTGGGTTTATTGTTTTTTTTTTCCCCCTTGGATGCTGCCCTTGCTGCAGTTGCCTTTCCCTGTTCAGGCAGGAGTTTGGTGGGCAGAGCATCCTCAGCCCTGCCAGGGAGTTTGGGGGAATTTTTGTGTGCTCTGCAGTGCAGTGGCTTTTATGGCTTTTCAAAGACGGGACCTAAGAGAGGCTGTTCACGCCTACTGTGAAATTCACTTTGTATTTAAAGTATCTCTCCTCATCTTTTCCATACAGAGATAAAACAGTTCTGGGATGGTCTAGATCTGTAGGCAGCCTAAGGAATGTGTGGCATGGGGCCAGATGTTCCTGGGCTGATTCCGTGTGACTCCCAGGCTTTTCCTTCCTTTGCTCCCACTGTGCTCCACCAGGGATTTTATGGGATGGTACTGAACCCTGTGGTTTTATTTTCGGCCTGAAAGACTTGCTGGATCCTCAAGAAACGTCTTGGTCTTATTTCTCCCCTAGAGAGGAAAACAGTGCCTTCGTTTTCTCAGCCTTCAGTGCCTTCCTTAGCAGCGTCCCTGGCTGGTGTGGAGAGCAATCGCTCGTTCGTGCAGAGCCCCCCGGGCAGCCCGGTGAAATCCCCTCTGGAGCTCAGGCTGTATCCTCAGCCCTACTTCCACACCAGGACACAGCACCAAGCACAGCAGCTGAAAAAAATCGAGCCACCCCTTCAGTCACCGGTCAAGCTCAAGCCAAAGGTTGTGAGTACTGCTCTTGTGAGTTTATTCAGCAGTGTTTCCATTATTTCTGCCAGGAGGAGTGGAATTTGGGGAGGCACTTGGGGTGTTTGTGTTGGAGCTGAGCAGCACCGTCCATGTGGAGCTGATTGTACAGTGGCCACAGAGTGGTTTAGAGCATATCAATACTCAGAGCCTTCCTTGGAAATGCTTTGTGCTTCATTTCTTGGGTCTTGCTTGGGCTTTAAAGCCTCAAGCTTCTGGTGTGGACAGAGGAGAGCACGCTGAGGCAGTCACAGATAATTCACGTAGTGCACTGACCTTCATTTTACACTTTATACCAGACTGTTTCTGCTCTTTGCCAAATCCCTGTTGCTTTCCCGTTCCCAGGAAGATGAAGCACCGCCCAGACCTCCTCTTCCTCAGCTGTACAGCCCTGAGGATCAGCCCCCAGCTGTGCCCCCCCTGCCCAGAGAAGCCACTGTCATCAGACACACCTCGGTGCGGGGTCTCAAACGCCAGTCGGACGAGAGAAAGAGAGACAGGGAGCTGGGCCAGTGTGTGAATGGAGACTACAGGGTGAGCACCCACCCCTGAGCCCCTGCACCCCAAAATATGGGAGCCTTGAATGAAACACATTGGTGTTGTCTGTAAAATATACAGGCTTTTAGTGAATAGTCATGGTGTAGAATGGCACAGCCATAATAATGACATAATAATAATAATAATAATAATAATAATAATAATAATAATGATGATGATCTACGCCATATAATAATGGCAGAGAGAGATGCAGCAACCCACAAAGTTTTAGGGTTTGTTTTGGGGTTAGTAAAGCTTGCTGTCTGTGATTGCAGTTGAGCTGATGAGTTTGTGTCTGTGCAGGTGGAGCTGCGTTCATACATGAGTGAGCCAGAGCTGGCAATGCTGGGGGGCGACCCCAGCCACCCTTTAATTAGCCCTGACAGTGGATACCAGACTTTGCCTACCCGTGGTAAGCCAGGAATTCATGGAGTTCGTCTTGCTGTCTGTATAGGAGCTTTTCTCGTGTAGGATTTCCTGGAGATGATCTTTATCACCACATCACTGTTTCTAGATTAACTGCTCAGTGGAAATTGAGAGATTTTGTGCATTTTAATGGTGCTGTTACAGACAAGCAGCCTTTGGCAAAGCAACTTAATTTATAAAGCTGGAAAAAAACCCATAGCAAAGCATGGAATTGGCTATTAGAATGTCTCTTGTATTTGTCCACATATCTTTGCTATCTTTTGCAAGCTCCAGGTATTTTAAAAACACCTATATTGCCATTAAAATGTAGCTGATAAAGTGTATGAATCAAGTGCCCCAGACATTACATCTGACTAACACTCCATCCCCACTGTGCTGTGGTCCTGTAACTGTTTGGGAGATGAGGATAGAGATGATATTTGGGCCTAAAGCAAATAATTTCTTAGCCATTCACTTCTTATTTCTTCATTTCTAACTGTGAATGTTAAGGTTTTATTTTCTTAATAGATGTGATTATTTGTACAGTCTATTTACTCTTGTACAGCTGAGTTCAACCTATCCCTCGTTTAATATAAGTTCCTAATTTATTATAGATTTTCTGAATTTTGATCAGTAGAGACCTAAAGTGCATTATATTTGGCTGAAATGAAATTTCATGCTTCTTATGATCTTCAAAATGTGTGCTCAAATAATGACCAGAATGCCACAGAAACAGTATAATACAATCAAAAAAAAAAACCAAAACAACTGATTCTTGTCTTAATTTGTCTGTCATTTGATGTTAAGGCATTTTCTTTTTCCTTAAAAAGGTTTGTCTGGATCAACTTCCAGACTGCACCAGTCTTCTACCATTTCATCCTTTGCAACACTTCGAAGGGATAGGTCCAAGGTAAGTTTTAAATAAACTTCTGAAAGCAAATGTCTGAACTGCTTGAAAGAGTTAAGCCCAGAGTATATTTTGTGTAGCACGAAGTGGGATTGCAGTAGCCTGGGAGAGGACCAGGAGCTGTGATCTAACCAAGTCTCCAATTTTTCACTTTCTTAAATGAACTGGAAAACAGACAAAACAACTTACTGCATTTCAAATAGATTTATAAAACAAGGTTTAGAACGAAAAATCAGCGCTACTAATAGGAAATACAGAATTGAAATATGCAAAGAAATGCAAAGCTAATAGAATAAAATTTAGTAATGAGCTAGGAGAAGGGAGTTAATTTTAATTTTTTTTCGTATACTTCTTATAAAGTATTAATTACAACACGTGTTTCGTGTGCCTTGTGACTTCTCCAGGAGAGACCAAAGAGTGCCTTGGAACGTTTATACTCTGGAGAGCACCAAAGAGGCAAGATGAGTGCAGAGGAGCAGCTGGAAAGAATGAAGAGACATCAGAAGGCGCTGGTGCGGGAGCGCAAGAGGACCCTTAGCCAGGGAGAGAGGCAGCCTGTCTCATCTCGCCCTTTCATCAGGCCCGTGTCTGCAGACCTCGGCTCAGTATGTTAGATATGCCTTAAAAGGACTAAACTAAAAAATATCTTTGCATTTATTCTTTTTTTCTTTTTTTTTTTTTTTTTTTTTTCCGTCCCCCCTCCTCACCCCCGGCAAGCGCTTTTCACTTGAGCGTGTGTGATGCTTCTGTTCCAATTAAATCAGATTTCCGTGGTATCAAATGAGGAGCAGGTGATAGGTTTTTTTATTTGTAGGTGAGGTAAATAATGTAGCAGGTTCAGCAGGTAAGTTGGTCAGAGGTTAGTGACGAGTGGAGATGTCAGTGTATTGGGGTGATTGCAGAGCCATGATTTATTTTTTTTTTTTTTCCCCCTTGGAATTGTATTTAGGAAGTGTCAGAAGCTTGTACAGTTTTAAAACTGCTTCATAATGGAATGGGCCTTTTAGAATGTTCTTTCTCACCATGGGTATTTTTCCTTTTAATTCATAAATTAGCCTGCCAGATAGTAGGTGGTAATATCAGACCAAGGTGGTGCTTGTTTGTTCTTTTTAAAAAAGATGATATATGGATAATAAGTTTTAAAATCTAATCATGCTGATTAGGAATTTATTGAGGAGCTAATGTATTTTAATTGATACAAATTCTTCTTTAAAGCTAAAAGTGTAGAATATTCTAATAAGGCTCAAATTTAAGCTGCTGAAGAAAAGTATTTTTGTTGCTTTCTGAGAGTAAATGCTGTGCAGATGATAAGTTTCTAATGATACATTTTGGATACTAACCAAAGCAATTCTAATTGGTGAAGTTACCCAGTTGCTCACTTGGTGCTAAACCAGGATTGTACTGTAATTGCACTTATGCTGTGGTCTTTTAATTTATTTTTTTATTTGGTCCACTAGAGCTTTAGAATGATCACATTGTTTTACCTAATTCATTGCACAAGATCTCTTGCTTTTAAATTTGTCACTCATCATACCTAATGCCTCTTTTTTTGGTGTTTTTTTTTTTTTTTTGTTTTTTTTTAAATTTTGTTTGTTTGCTTGTTTTTAATTTGCAGAATTTTGCAGTTACTTTAAAATTTCTAACTGGACTACTCAATTTTTACCAGGCTTAATTGCATTTAGTACATGTGTGTCAATTGCTGGCATTAAAAAAAATCCTTATAATATTCAGCTTTTCATTCCCACTGTTCTGTAGCACTAATTTGCAGCTCCTTATTTGTATTTACTTTCACAGTAAATACGAGTGCACTGCTTGGAGACATTCATCTGTTTTGTCTTCTGTTTTGCAATCACAGATTTTTTTAAAGACAGTGCATAATGTTTGAGAATTGTAGTGCTGCAGTACCACTGTTACTTTCATGCTTTAATTGGAAGAAATTAATCTGAGCTTCTTATGTTTTCTGACTCACATAACATACACAAGTGGAATTGAAACATTTTCATAACATTATTAACATTTGTGGCAAACGCTTTCTTTATAAATTTGGGTGCCATCTTGGTCTTTTTCTTGCTGTAAAGAATTAAAATAGAATTTTTCAGCCCTAGCAGTGTTTTGTAAAGGTCATCTCTTGTACCTATAGGGCTTTGATATGCAGAAGCATGTTTGATAGCACAATTAATTACAGCATTACAATTATTTAGCAGCCAGAATGGCAACCAGTTAAATGTATAATTGAAGTGCTGCTCAGTGTGTAACATTTGCTTTAAACATACATTGTATGTGTAATTCTAATTTTTAATTGGTCAGCTCTCAAGTGTAGGATGACATTTTAAGTATTGATCACAGTACATGAATTCATTTGTTATATACAATGCCTTTTTAATGTAAAAGTTGCAACATCAAAGCCAATAAAAGTACTGCTTCGTAAGAGTGGTTTGATGTTTTTCTTACCCATTATGTAGCAAGAACTTGAAAATGATCCTGTGTATTAAAAATATACTATATCAATCAGGCCTGGTTCGAATATGAGTAGAAGGATGAGTTTGGAGTACTCAGATGAGAAAATGTTCTCTTCTCTGTTGAATTCTGTAACATTTTAATTTTTGAGATATAATTGTCTTTTACCTACTAAACTTTTTAATATACATGGAAGATTCTTATCTTCTGAGTGAATTCTGAGAGCTTGTGCATGAATAGGTTTCAATTGGATTTATTAATGCAAGTGACATAATAAAGTCTAAGGACTTCACATGGAGTTCAGACTTCATCCAAAACAAGCCAAAGATTTGTACCAGAAATACTGGAGATATTTTTAAAAAACATAGAAGTGGCACATTCTCCTGTTGATGCCCTCAAAACCTTGAGGAGATAATTTTGTTGTTTTTGTCCCTTCTTTTCCCTACTGCTTTTAATGTCATATATGGTAAAGTTGCTCAGATCTCCTGGATGGAATGATGCTACAGCTGAACTTAATTTTTTGAACAAAAAGGTGTTGGCAGTGTCCTTAAGTGTGAGTTTATTGGTAACTGTGTTGTGTGTAGTTGTGAAGGGACTGCTCTGCAGTGACTTTGGCTACTCTACATTATGCAGCTTAGTTTAAATATGCCAAATTTAAATATCAATAAATATTTAATAATTCTGATTTATATTGCTGAATATTTACCTTTTAAAGACTGTGTGGAAGAACTTTCTCAGGGAGCTAGACTCTGCTTTTAGTAAAGTCTGAAGAGCTTAAAAGTCAATTATTTCTTAGTTCAAGACAAATTAACGCTGATGCACAAAACATTTTCAACTTTAAACAGTAGGTGTTATTCTAAAAAGATATATAAAATTCTCAGGTTGTGATTCTCAGCCAGCACTGTAAATAGCTTTTCTGTGTGATGGTTCAGAACCACACAGCCCTGCCAGGGACCACTCTGTCAGCTCTGAGTGTCACTGCCATCTTCATCAGCAGATGGAAAATTGGGATTAATAAATTCCTTACCATTTAATACTGCTGAACACGTGAAACTGAACAATACCCTGAATTGCTCACGGCATAGCTAGAGATCTAAACTCCCACCTGTACGTACCAAGAAATGCAGTTGGATTTTCTTGCAGGCTTGCCCTGCTGATGGTCTCAGCAGAGGAACATTTGCAGTAATGTACATTGCTTTGTGGTGAGCTGGGCACTGTGGTTGAGTGCTGTTAATTGTTTTGTATCTATTACCAGTGGAAACGAGAGCAAGAATTTGATTTGCAGTTACTTGAGAGGGCAATTCGTGGAGAAGACAAGGATGAAAATGAATGGTTAAAAGTTCAGCCAGTAGCAGTGACAGAGACAGACCTGGAGCCTCAAGACTATGATTTAGATATCAGCAGAGAGGTAACACTCACAATCTTTTGCCTTCTATTCTCTGTCTCTGAAATATTAACCTTTCTAAGTTTTAGGCAGTGAATTCTCATCTTTTCTTTCAAAAGTTAGCTGGAAGTTTAAACTAAAAGGAGTCTTTTTGGGTACTGAAAATTCATGACCTGGCACCTTTGTAAGGTTTGTGTTTGTATTGTGTTTTATTAGAAAGAAGAAATTGAAAAGTTGGCTCTACTCTTTGAAATATACATCTTAGGCTTTATAAAGGGAAGAGAAACTAAGTCAGGAAAAGTTCTATAAATTGGGAAAAAAAGACGAGAAGACAACATGATGAGTATTTAAAAATGAGAAACAGGAATGAAGGGAAACGTCGTTCCCCAGAGCTCCCTTAGTGCTTCTCATGTTGGCTGGCAAATGACGACAGAGAAGAGGAGGCAGTGCTTGATTTGGGTTTGAACAGAAAACGCATTTCTGTCGTTTTTTGGAATGGCTTGGTCGGTGTTCTGGGTCTTTTCTCAGCCCCAGCATCCAGGAAATGTCATTTTGAAATGCGATTGAGCCATCTGGTGGGAATGAGAGAACACAGCAAGCGGGAAGAAGGGGGCACCTTGTGCTGGCTTAAATGCCATGGGAGATGGCAGACCAGTCAAAACATTCATGATAATTAGATTAATGAGCACCTGTACTCTTCTGAACGCTGTTGGCAGAGTTTCATTTTGCAGACACAGGGGTTTGTAAATGGTTTACTCTGTGAGCTGTCTGTTGGGCTCTATGAATGAATGTTTCTTTCAGCTGTAAAACTTTTACAGAAAACACAGGGCTTCTGCAAACTTCAGAAAGAGAAAGGAACTTCTTCTGCCTTTCTTTTTTGCACTCTGCTATGAGTTTTTCTTTTCCAGAAGGCCTCTGGGGCCGTGGGAATCACTTTGTTCTTCCTTTAAGCCTTGGGTAGGAGATGTTTTTGCTCACAGGCACTTCTGTCCTGCTTCAGAGTAACTGAAGTAGGTCTGAAGCACTGAGTGTAAAAGTTTTCTCAGTTTACCCAGGTTAGAATCATAGATTTGTGTTGGAGGGGACCTTAAAGATCATCCAATTCCAGCCCTCTGCCATGGGCAGGGACCCCTTCCACTGAGCCCCAGCTCCATCCAGCCTGGCCTTGTTGTCATTTTCCATTTCACTGGCCATTCTCTTCACCTGGCAGGCACTTGTGTGTTTGAGGTAACTCAGAAGGAAACACACTCAGTTGTGTCTTTGAGGAAATCCATCTGCTGTTGTGATGATTAATGGGTTTGTTGTTCTGAAAGTGATGAGCTAATGTAGGCTAGATACAGTATGGAAATAGAGATACACATTTAAAAAAAAAAAAGTATCTATGTCTATATCTAGACCTCCAGAGAGGAGTTGGATTCAAAAGAAGGGAAGTGTAGTGGAAAAATGAGGATTTTTCCTGGATGCATTGACTTTGGGTTTCCTGAGAAGGAAGCATAAAAACCTGAGGCTGTGATTTGAACAGGGTTGAGTGTGCCAATGTGTGCCCTTGGCATGAGATTTGCTGTGAATTTTTCAGCCTGAGCACTGAGGGTTAGGTCAGGCCACTTTGCATAATCCATTGAATTAGAGTGAACCAAGGTCAGTGGTGAAAAAACTTAGGATTATTTTCATTGAAAACTTTAAATTTTGAAAACTCATTGTCTCATGAATGTTTTAACAAAATTCCAATAATAAGAAGAAAAAAATACTTCTCCTTAACTTGATTTCCATTTATTCACGCATCCTCTATTTTTGTTTTCAAAAGCAGTCTATTCTGTATGATAAGAATTTATTTTCAGAGTTTATAAACTGTATTTTCATTGGGTGGAGTGAAAATTTCCCACATAGTAATTTATCCTAAAAATTTGTTTATCCTAAAAAAATGTTTCCAGCTTTTGTGCAATCATATGAAAATTTTCAGTCCACAGAATTAATTCATGCAATGCATTGTTACAATCACACGGTGTAGTGTATTTCTGTCTGCCTTTTCTTCCCTTTCTGCTGCTCACAGAAGATTATCCAGTCTCAAAAGAGTGGTTAAAAGCTTCAGTGATATTTCCTTTCAGAAGTGGGAAGCTCTGGCTGGCCTGACACAAATATCCTGACACTGATGTCTCAGGTTTGCCAGCCCAGTCTCAGAGTGGTTGTTCTTTCTACTCTGAGAGCTTTAGGCAGAGCCCTGCCTTGGGCTCTGAGCCTGAGCTGAAGAAAGGTTTTCTGCTGATTCTGATTTCTTCTATAATCCCTTTAAATGTTTGTTCAATCTGTCTTCTGAAGTAAAAAAGAATCAGAGGGAGCACTGTAGAAAGGGCATCAGCTAGATATCCAGAAGTGTTTAACATCAGGTACATGTACTGACTGTGAAAATCCATGCTTTATTCTCTCCCTGTGTTCTCCCATTGAGGAGGATTTATCTCCATTTCTTTCAAGTCTTTGTTGCTGAAAACTCGATGCTTGCTTTCTTTCTACAGTTGTCAAAACCCGAGAAGGTTGTAATTCCAGAACGTTATGTTGAGCTGGAGCCAGAGGAGCCTCTTTCTACAGAAGAGCTGGCAGCAAGGCAGCGTAAGGCAGAAAAGATAAAGAATATTCTGACTAAATCAAGGTTTGTTTTAAGGTTGTTTTTTTTTCCCCAAATCTTACACAGTGGCTCGTGTTAAACATTGAGAATTAACATCATACAACGATCTTTGTTTCTGTTACCTGAGTGTAACTTGTAGATTTGAGAAAATACACTCAGAATTTCCGTGGTATACTTAGAGATGCTTTGTAAAACAAGGTAGAAGACACAATGATGAATTTTGTATATGTCCATTTTCTTGTTTAGAGAGTCCTAAATCAGTAGTGAGTCCTTACCAAACAATTTGTAGATGGGAGTGAGCAGGAGGGAAAGGCAGAAGTCTGGCCAAAAGCAGAAGAAAAGTCAGCATGGGAGCAAGGTTTTGTTGTGGCCAGGGAGCTGGAGTTGTGAAACAACACTTTTGGCTGCTTACAGCTAACAGAGAGTCAGCTGAAACATTCAATTTCCAGAACTGGATATGTCAGGTACCTGCTCTCTCTTTGCAAGGGGTGAGGACCACCCGGTTTTTCCTTTTCCTCTGAGCACTAGCAAGGAATTTTTCATGCAGCTTCAAATAAATGGCACTTTGGTAGTGCTTTCCTTTAAGCAGATTTCTAAAAAAAGGTCTTTCAGATGTTCTTAAGGCCATGCAGAAATTGTGATGGAATGTGTGGTGGCTGTGTCGTTTTTCCTTGTGTGCTCTGGCCATTTGCATACAACATCAACCCTCTTGTAAAGAAGAGCAATAAAATACAGAGCTCGATAGATGAGATCTGAAAACTGCTGTGTGAATCCAAGCTCGTTCTTATGTGCATGGTGGATTCTTTATGTTTGCACATGTTAATGTTGTTTTTTTTGCTTTCCCCCTCAGTATGCACAATCTGCAGCCTGCTGTTGCCCAGGACAAACACAACTCGATTGATTTAGATTCCCAGCTGCAGGAGCAGGAACGCATCATTACCATTTCATATGCTCTGGCTTCTGAAGCCTCTCAGAGGAGCAAGGAGGTAGCAGGTAATGCTTAGTTATTTACAAAATAACAGCTATTCCTTACCAGCTTCTCAAGTTGTGTGGGGTTGTTGCTGAACTCTTGGCATAAGAGAAAGTTTTAGTCATTCGTATTCAAAATAGTGAAAAGTGTGTGTAGGTAACAATTGGAGAGGGGTTCATGATTTACATTGAGTATTTGGCCTCCAGTGGACAGGAAAAAGATAAATAGTATGATCAATAAGTTCAGAATTTGGAAACTTGCTCTAACTAATAGTGCTAAATATTAACATTGTAATTCTCTCTTAATTATATTAAATCAAATCTTTCTATATTCATTCTATAAAAGTAAATTGATCTGTGGCTTCAAAAAAAAAAAAATCAAGGAAAGAGGATTTAAATTGTTTTTTAAGAGGAAAAATTCCCTGGTCTGGTGATTGAGATGGGGCTACAATCATTTTCAGCTTGAGCTGTGTGACAACAGGCTGGAAAAGACCTTGGAAAATGGGGATGTTTCTGTCTGGTGACCAGGATGAGAGGTCAGAGCAAGACAGCTGTGCAGGAATTCTGCTTGATGCCTGGAAATTAATAGATCCTTTGCAATATGTCGCTAAAAGTGATAATTTCACTCTTGATTGCTTTATAGTTGAAATCAAGTAAGAAGTGTCAGGAGATTTGTATCACACAGTAATCTGTGCAGCAGGATTTCCCCAAGTGTCTGACTGGCCATTTATAACTGGCACCACTCACTGTTCCAGTGGAGAATGGAAATAATGGAAACTTCAAGTGTGATGGAGAAAAAATATGCCCATTTCTCATCCCAGGTTGTCACTTTAAACTTATGGCTCTTGCCACAGCAGCCCTCAAGCCCTTCTCCCATTAGAGACAGATGATTCCAGTCTGGGAAAATGCATGAGGGGCATCTGCAGTGCTGAGTGAATGTGGCTGCACACTCAGGGGTGCAGTGGCAGCTGGACCTGAGGGGAATGGCATTTTGAGGGCAGGGAATTCATTGCCAAGACAGGAATCTTGAGTCTTCAGAGAGTTTTGTTTTTTTTTTTTTCTGTGGGTGATTTAACTGACTGGCAGGGATAAAAAGATTCACTGAGGAGGCCTGAATCAAACAAACAGAAGGGCAGAAGTGTAAAAATCATGTGGGCATTTCAGGAATAACCTTGTGGCCCTTCAGGCCATCAGTGGGTTTTTCCAACAGGGCTTTTCCTCAGGTGCTTTGGTCCCAGTTCTAGTGACCAGAACCTTGTGAACAGGTACTTCCCATCCTTTGCTTGTGCAAAGGGAATTTTTTTCATGATGTGTGAGCCAGTGGAGCATTTTGCCATTTGAGTTCTAACTTCTGCTGGGAACAGATCACACATCTGGGCTCAGAGCAGCCCAGATGAGCACAGCCAATCCTTGAAATTATTCTTGTGTGTCAGTACAAGAGCAGAGTGCCTGTCCTACTCAAAGGTCTCCTTGGGGCCAGTTAAATTATTTCTGGGTGTGCCTGAACTTGTAGCAACTGTACACTACTTAAATAGGTTTATTTTTTTATAAATGTTGTGTAGTGAATTCAGTATATATTTCATTACTATAGGTTTTTTATTTATATATTTTAATTTTTTATATTTGATTATCTCAAAAGTGTAAGCCATCAAATTTTTTTAGATAAATGGAACCACAAAAATCTTAATTCTTTAGTGTTCCTCGAGGAGGGAATTAAAGTGTGTATTGGCACTGAAATGTTTAAATGCTGCTTCAGAAAATTTGCAGTCAGTTGTGAGATAAGTTTTAGTCTCATTTTCTTTGTGAAGCATAGCAGCTGCTGCTTTTGTCTTTCAGACACTTGAAGAAACCCTAACACAGTAGCCAAAGACCAAAGTTTTTAAGGAATTCCAAACTTTTATGTTTGTGCACAGCTTTTGTTGCCACGCTTGTACCTCAGAAGCTCACTCATTGAAACAGGTCTTGCTTTGATTTCAATTATTTCTTCCTCCTTTAAAAGCAAACATCTTTCATGGAATTCTTTAAAAAAAAAAAAAAAGCCTGAGTGGTTTGGTTTTAATAGAAAATCTACAAACCAGAAAAGAGTTCAGGTTTTTTAGTTATGGCCAGTTTCTGATGATGTAAGGTGATTAAAAAGAAAAGCATTTGACGCTTTGCACAGCTGATTTTATTCTCATTTAGTCTCATATTACAGATTCCTTCACGTTCTTATTTTTGTACTTTGATTTTTGAAGTACGGGTTATCATTTGCTCCTTGATGATGAAGCAGACCACAGCTGAAAATCCCAAACTAATTATGTAGATTGTTTTACAGAGATTTGTTTATGAAAAAGACTCTGAAGCTTAACTTTGCCCATTTTTCAGTTTTGTTAGGATACTATGCTGATATAAATCTTTTAGGATAGGTTACACATTTATCTAATCTTAGCATTTTAGTGTTTACTCTGTTCCTAATAAGAAATCAACCTTTTAAATGGAAATCATGCCAAGAATCTGGAAGATAAAAGTCAAACACAAGAGTATTAAGAAGTCGTTTCCTTTGTTTTATGCCTTGGCCCTCCAAAATGTAAAAGCAGAATTTTAGATCAAGTTTCAATTTCTTCAATTCTATGATTATTGTTTTCTAATACTATCCCATTACTCTGGTTTATAAACAAGGATAGTTTTAATCATGGTATTCTTTATCCTGTATTTTCGAGCTGAGATATGAAAATATTTACTGTATGCACTGCACTAAGCAAAATGTTATATGTAATTTGGTAAACATTATTTTTCTATATAATATTTTGGTTTCTGCTCACTGGCACATAACAAAGGAAATGTTGAAGACCTATACAGCCTCAGTGAAGTCTGGAAATCAAATTAGCAAACATAGGTGCTGGTCCAGAGCTTCAAAAGCTTTAAAAGCAGAGCTGATGAGAGTATGTCAGTGTTGTGTGCCTTCATAATGTCCCAGGGAAATTTCATCTCAAGACAGGTTGTCCATATTCTCATCTAATTAGGAATCTTTATTTGTTTAATTGATGCAAGGAGTAGGAAAAAGCAGCAGGTAAAATGTGTTTTGCCTCATTTCCACCTGACTACAACAGTGTAGCACCTCCTCCACTGCTGGTCAGGGCTCATGTGGTCGGAGATGGAGGAGTTTGGGTTTGTGATGTCAATGTTTGATTGTGCAGCCTAATTCCTGTGTGTGATCCCTTCTAGCTCAGCAGGTGACCTGTGCACCCAAAGCACCCTCACCTTCTGTACCACAGCCACCTCCCTCCCCCTTAAGCAATGGATTTCACTACACATTTGTTTAAACACCTTCCAAGTAAGAACTAACTGCTCTCAGCATGTCTGATTTGCCACCGTGCCTGTGCTGTGGCTTGCTAAATTTTAACTCCTTTACTAAACCGAAATGAGATCCCAATGAAAGCATGCAGCTCCTTCTTCAGAAGCCTTTCATCCTTGCAAATATTGCTTCTAATGAGCTAACACGTGGGCTGATGAGACCTTGAGATGAGTGCTGTGCAGGTGAGGGGCTTGCTGCTGTGGTGGAGGGAGGAGGCACCTGGGTGACAGGGGCCAGGTTTCCAGCAGCCTGCTCTGCTCTGGTGGCTGCTCAGGGCACACAGAGACAGAATCCAGAGTGCACCCCTGTCCAAGAAGGGGCTTCCTTTGCGGGCTGGGATCCTACACACAGCTGGCTTAGCTGAGGTGAGCTGAAAATTTGGCCCTGTGTGATTTATCCTGCAATGTTGTGTTTGACTTGGATCGTGCCTTTCGTTGGATCATGTTAACAGAAGGTTGGTTTTGTCTCTGGTTGTCCTTACAAAGAAGCATCTGCATTTGTGTCTCTCCTCGGTAGGGTTTGCAGAGTTTTCCCTCTTTGAAATTGGAAGTAGGAAAAGGTGTAAATACTGTGTGCAGCTGCTAAGTGTGGCCCTAGTTAAGACACTTGCTGTGAATCCCTATTTTCCTTTTATATCACTCTTACCTTTCTGATTTCCTTTGGCTCAATTTTATTGCCTGAAATGGAGCACGAAGATAAAGCAGAGATGCAAGAGGGATATTTGAGTAACTCCAATAATTGTACAGTGCCAGAGACTGGAGCAGGGGGCAGGGGTGACCTTCCCAGGTCCCTTCCTACCCCAACCTTTCTGTGATTGCAGACTGACTTCAAAACATGTCCAGCACGTGTCTGTACAAATATATACACATAGATACACAGATTTATATAAAGCTACATTTCCTTCAGAAAAATAAAGTAGTTGTGATGTGCTGGGGACACAGGAGCTTCAGCATCCGTGGCATCGTCAGATAATCGTTCCTTCTGTCAAACTGCAAAAAGCTTAAAAAAAAAAAAAAAAACCAACAAAACAACTTTCCAGCAATTTCTTACTGCTTGGCACTGCTTGACTCCCTTCAATATTTAACCATGTTTTCTTTTCCCTCACACCAGCCAAAGCAGTGAGTGAGCACTGACGTGGGACTCGAGGCAAAAGCAGCTTTGGGACGCTGCAGAGGAGATTTTTCTCCAGCTTTCTGTGGAGATCCTCGCTGGCTGATGGCCCCTCCTTCTGGAAAGACATTCAGAGAATGATAGGGGGATTTTCTATGAAAAATGAAGAGAACTGCAGATTTTTTTTTTTTTATTTACTTCAGTTTAGTTCACAGTTTTTATACGAATAAACGGCACTTTTAATAAGCTCTGTAAAATACTGACAATGTATTTTTAGAACAATGTATTCTAGATTTTTTTTTAAAAAATCAAGGGCTGAATTCATTTAAAAAAGACACTTCTTGCATAGATACTAAAGGATGCTGTTACTTCCCCCTCAGGCTCAGATGCACATTGTAAAATTTTGTGAAAAAAACCCCCAAATTTGAACAAACCTAGAAGCACATTCGTGGGGTATGGATAGAGCTAACACGGGTGACAGGCTTGGTGAAAGGGTGTTTCAGATTGAATATTTTTGTAGTGTTAATCACCCACCCTTTTGCCCACTAAATAATCCATTGCGAGAGCTGTTAGCTTGAATTTCTACCTATTAGTGTATAGCTGAAATTTCCCAAGAAAGCCATAACAAAAGCCAGTTTTAATTCCCATTTTTTCTGATCCCAGATGATTAACTTGCTGGTATCAATCCACAGTTTCTTAGGTTGCCCTTGACAGTAGTGCTGCCCCCTCTATAACAAACAGCTAACAAATTTTATTTTATTTTTTTCAAAGTTGAAATGTGAAAGAAGATGATTTTTAATTAAAATACGTGAAGTAAGCAATAAAAAAATTATATTGTGTCATTTGGCTAGTAAATACATATTTTTCTTCTGATTTTTTTTTAATAGACATTACAATATGACATACTGACTAATATTTATCCTGGAAACAGCAAAACTAATGGAATGTGGCACCTGCTAATTTCATATATATGTTCACCTGGTGCTTATCTTTGCCAAACTTTGAAATTCTGTGCTCTACTTAGGCATAGGGCAAAGGGTGAGGTGGTTAAAATAAGGAGAAAATAAGATTAAATGAATTGCTGCAACTATGCTTTAAAAAACCCTGTGTCTGCATTGAATGCAAGACATGTAAGAAATTCCCAATGTTACATAATTAGTAGTTCAGCTCTGGATGAGAAATAACTGAGAAACACTTCTGCAGTATTTTGTGAAACCACTAACTTGTTTATTCCCTGTATTCAAGTAGTAGCTAAAAACCCCTTGGAATTGACCTTTGTGTTTCAGACTTAAGACAAATCATATTATATTAACACTATACTCAGAAATATTCTGAAAAGTATATATTTAGCTAATGCAATCTATTTTACCTCAATACTGCCAGTATCAACTTCAAAACCTTTTGCCAAAATAATGATTTATTTTTTGCCTTTATAAAAAAAAAAAAAGTTTTGAAAGCATAAATGAATATTTTGCAAGAAAACATTAATTTAAATAAAATGTAACAGTTTGGAAAATGGTATATGTACAGATTAAAATATTAACATGACTGCCTCCTGTTGTCTCTGTCTTGTCTGCTCTCTTAGCAGTGTCCAGCTGGTTGGAAATGTGCTTTTATCACATTTTGTTATTCTTTGGTTTAAATCCCATTGAGGTTCCCCAGTTTTGCACTCGTTTTACTGGGATTTGAATCAGGCTCTCTCTACACCAATTCTACATTTTGATGATGATGATTGTTCTAAGTTGTTTTGTTTTAAGAAATGTTCTCGAGGCATTTATTGAAATCTGTCTTTATTTTGGAATAGTGAGAGTGGGGTGTTGGCTGAGGGGAAGGTGGGCACTGGCAAAGCTGCAGCTCAGTGTTAGCATTTCCAGCAGCTCCCTCAAAACACACCAGGCTGATGGAGAGCACTGGAAACGTTGAATTCTTCTGAAAAAAAAAAACCAAAAAAACCAATTAAAAGCGTTTCTGTGGCTCAGTGCTGAGTGCATGAACCCCAGGGTGAATGTTTGAGGCTGTTTGGCTTTTGAATGTGAGTGCAGGAATTGGGAGCTGAGCTGCTCAGGATGGGCTCCCCCTGTTTTTGGGGGCACAGCAGAGCAGTGAAGGGACAGGAGCAGCAGCAGTTCTGCTCTGCAGCTCGGGGGAGATGTTCATTCTCTTTCCTTTCATCACACACACAAAATCTGCTCATTCAAGCTTGTGTGGAGGAGAAGGATTTAGCCCTCAACAGTTACATCATTAATATTTTCAGCAAAACCAGTCTCGATTGAAAGATTTTGGCCGTGTCCGTAGTTTATCTCATATTTGGGAAAAAATGATAAGGTAATTTTTCTTCCAAAGCTTTTTGTTGAATGTGTGAAATGCTGTTCTTTTGTAAGGATGGGTGGAGTTTTAAATAGTAATGGCCAGTTTTCCTCTGCATGGAGTGTTTGCTTTGGATCAATTTCTCTTTTAATCAACGTGCTCTTTTCAGGCTGTTACAAGCTACTTTCTAATATTAAAACTAGAAAAAATTACGTTAACTTGCAGATCGACATAATTTTGGTCTGAAAGTGGCCTTTTATTCCCCTCTGCCTGTTAAACAGTGAAGTGTTTAACTCATTATGAAGCAGTGTCAGTTCTTTTGATTGTGCTGGTTTTTAGTTTAGTTTTGTAATGTTATACCAGGCAAATATTTTGCAGGCTGAATTCTCTATCCCTGTACAGCTGTTGCCAATTTCTTCAGCCAAAGTTACAGAACTTTTACTGCCCAGCTGCATTTATAAAACTAAAGCCTGATAGTTGTAAGTAGCACCTTTTTCACATTTTTGGACTTGCACAACAGCCTCCCCCCCATTTTTCACTATTATTTTGAGTTTGTGTGCATTGCTGGGCTGCAGGGAATCCTGCTGAGCTGTAGCATTGTTTGTGTCTTTGTATTTATGGTGTTTGTTTTAAAGGACTGGGCAGGTGAGCAATACTTAGAGATGTCCTGGCTGTTTTGGATCACTTGGGAAGAAAAAAAAACACCACCTCCAACAAAAAGCCCCCCACAACAAAACCCACCAGAAGTAGATAAAAAGGGTTTTTCAGGAAACTACTGAGAGATTCTCTTCTGGAATATATCTTAGGAGTGGAAGGAAAACTATGGAAGGATGCTACTAGATTTGTGTGCTGCTATTTCAAAAAGCTCTTAAAGCCCATCAGGGAGGTCTTGGGTAGCCCACAGCCTTTGGCAGGAGGGGTTGGTGTTTTGGGAAGGCAGAGTGCTCCTGACCTGTTTTGGTACCTTTTACACCATTATTTTTCCCCCTGCACCATTTACTCCTCTGACTTCCAGATCTTCAAATATATGTGTATGTATTTTATATCAGCATCTGTTCCCCTCTAGGAAACCACTTATTTCCCAGGTGTCTTAGCAATTAACTTCTGGATGTTCTATGAAGGAAAGACCAGATTTACTTGGTGTCAAAACTTAGAAGATGCAGAAGGCAGGATGTGATGTTACCCCTCTGATTCATGTCTGTCTGTGGGTATTTTAAAGGGTTTGTTTGTGCTCTGTGTGTGTCTGTGTGCCCGTGTTCTGTGTGGTTATAAGAAGAACAAAGCCACGCACAAGAAAAACATGAAAAAATTTCTACATTTTCCACACCTGGTAAAGATTCCCATTGGTTATTTGGCTGTATTCAAAAGGCTAAGATTTTTATTGCTCTACTAGCAAAAGCAACCTTTCTTCATAGTGGAGCAGTACAAAGAAAGAGCACAAAAAATCCCCACATCACAGTGCCTGAAATTCTGTTTGAACAACTGTATTGATTGGGTCTGACCCCTTTACATTTTTTTTCCCCCATTATTTGAAAAGGTGCATCTAACTGCAGCTGAATTGAACCAACCGCAATGAACTTTCCATGAAAACTTCTTGAGATATTTCTTTAGTTCAAAGCTGTGGAATTTTAAAGAGCATTTTTAATACAAGTCTGTTGAGGTATCCTGTGCAACAACCACACTTGGAATGTTAAACTACAGGTAAACGTAGGAGGGAGGTAAAATTATAAAAGCTGCTGTGAAATTGCTGGGAGATGGTGGAATAACTTCAAGTGGTAATTATAAAGTAAATAAAACCAGAAGATATTGAATATGTGTAAAAAGTAAGTGCATATAGAAAGTAGGTGCACATTTGAGCACTGTTGACTTGTTATTTACTTGTCAGTGCTCCTGGTTGCCTTACAGAGAGTGCAAAACAGCCTCCAAAGAAAACACTGACAATTAGCAGTTCTGGAGCAGCTGTTGGGGAAATTGTGTTACCAGATGTAAACTGGAAGGACAACGATGTTTTCTTGAATCCTCTTACCAGGAGCTGTAGCATGAGGAAGCAACTAAAAGAAGGAAGAGGCTCAGAAATCCAAGGTGAGTAGTGAGATTGTAGAAAATGATGGCAGAGATGTATGTGCAAGCAAGATGGAAGTAAGAGGCTGAAGGTGAGGGTGCAGAACAGGCTGGTGGTGGGAAGTGAGAGGCAGTAAAAAGATGCAAAGAACTGAAATATGTAGACTTGGACAGCAGCTAAATATTTCAATGGAAGGACTTGGCCTAAATTGTAGTGGGGAGGGTAAGAAGGAATAGCTGGCAAATGTGAATGTTTCACGTCCTAGTACAAAAAATGCCTTGTGAGAGAGTTAAACAAAGGAGTGGGATGGTGGTGGTGGTAGTGGATGAAGGAGAATCAGTGATGACTTGAGGGCAGTGTTTTGGTAGCAGGACAATTGTCTTTCCTATTGCCAGTTGCTGTGCTCTGTTCCTGGACAGCATCTAAAGTTCCTTTCAGTCTTCCCTTTTTATTTTTCTCCACTGGATCCCCATATGGCCACCATAAATGGTACTGGCCTTGGATAGGCAACAGCACAAACTGTAAGTGTGAGCTCCTTCTGCACCTGCACATCAAAATTAACTCGAGTTAAATCACCAAGTATTGTGTTTCTTTAGGAAACTCACCTCTCATCATGGTGCTGTACACCTCTTGCACTAAGATATTTTTCTAATGAAAGGTGCAGAGGTGACGGGCTTAAAAGCAAACAAAACCAACTTTTTTGCTCTGTCCCTTCAGTTGAGGGTACCTTGACACATGTCCCTTCTCTTAATCCCCTGACAGCTTCCAGGAGACTGATGCAAAGAGCTGTGCCAGGCTTTGATTATGAGATATTGCACTGCCACTTATTCTCTTTGTCTCCTGCAGTTTACAGAGGCAGCTTCAGTGCATAATTTAATCCCTGTATTGGGGACTGTAGCAAATCCATGGAGATTTCTACCAACCGTCCTCTCTGGCATCAGAACAACATGTGCACGTTGTCTTTGATGTGAATTCCCCAACCAGAGCCTTAGAGGGACCTGTATCTTTGAAGCTGGCCTATAAATTGTGCTTTCAGGAATCAAGTTGTCAGCCTCCTCTTCAGGAAGAAAGAGAGAGTAAACTGCAAAGCACTTGCAAGAAACCACAGGGCAACTTACAGATCTGGTTTCTTTGGCCTTGGAGAATTGCTGTAGGATGTTGAGAATCCCTTTTTGGCTGGCTCAGAGGCACCTCTGTGGTGGCTGCTGCACCTGTGGGCACTGGGGCTGTGATGGAGCTCACCTGGGGGGTTCCTGGTTGCAGGTAAATGGAACAGGCACACCGGTGCATTTGACCTCGTTCAGGTGTTTTCAGTCTTCCAAAGCCAAGTGCTGAGAATGCACCTGTATTGCTCTTTGTGCAAG